AGTAATTTACCAAGATAGACCATATCCATCTTTCATTAAGCTGGACAATGAAACAACCCCTCAAAACATCTCAAAGGACTGGGACCAGCAGATGGTATAATGGTTAGGTCGTTGGACTCCTACGTAGTTGACTGTGGTTTGAGTCCCAAGCCTGATGGCTCAAAACTTGTGCCAGGAGCATGTGCATGTGTGCCCGAAATCCCAAAAGGAGAATGGAGAAGGGAATGTAGCATGGCCATTCCCTGGGGTGCTAATTTCTTGCTTTCCATCACTTTCTCTCCAGCAAGCACACATCACCCTATAGAAAAAAATCTCTCTAAATTTTTTTTCAAAGGACTAAAATAATATAGAATATATCTCATACTAGGAAGGAATTAAATTAAAATGAATAATTAAAAGACACTTATAAAAGTCCCAGATGTTGATTAGGCAACATGCTTTTGCAAACTCATGGATCAGAGAACCAGCAGTTAGCGTAATGGCTATGTCACTGGACTCCCACGTAGTCGACCGCGGTTCGCGTTCCAGACCCTGTGGCTTAAAACTCACGCCGGGTGCATGTGCATGTGTGCCCAAGATCCCGAGAGGAGAATGGAGGAGAAAGGATTGCGGCGTGGCCATCCTCCCTGGCGGATGATCTCACTTTCTGTCTCTATGTCTCTTTCCATCTGTCTGGCGAGCACACGCGCCCTATAGCAAAAATCTCTCCAAAAAAAATAAAATAATAAATTAATAAAAACTCATGGATCAAAAAAGAAAAAAGAATGGAAATTCAAAAGCATTTCCAAATGACCACTATTAAAATCCCAACCGATTAAAATATATGGGATTTATTTAAAGCAGCGCTTCAAGAGAAATTTATTGCTTTAAATTCTAGTACCAGAAGAGAAACATTTAAAATCAGTGATATAACATTTTACCTTAGAATGTGAGCAAATAAAGAGAAAATTAAATTAAAGATGGAAGGAAATAATAGATTTTCAAGAAGAAACAAAATAAAAATGATCATAAAGCAGTAATATATTGTCACTGTTAGTTTTCCACTTGTGGAATTTTTGCTTCCTACTCCTATAAACTTAAAGGTACTGCCAGATCAAAGATCCTTGTTTGTGAGAAGAATACACTAAGGAATACAATGAAGCTTCAGGTAAACTTGAAGCATGACTACAATCTGGCCATTTGGGGCCCTTTATACCGGTGGATGAATCAACAAAGAAAAATGTTACTTACTGGAGAGAGTAATTATTACTCATTACTCATTAGGGTTGCTACCACAGAGTGGTAGGAGAAGAAACATACCTAGAAACTGGGGGATTCCTTGGAGCATCTCAGCACTCCCAGACCTGGTAACACTCAAGACCAGGCAAGTAGAGGACACATGGTCTGATAAGGACAAAGCAACTAAGACTCAGACACCCAGTGAAGACCTAGGCTGCCTGGATTAGGAAAGAAATATAGGCCAACTGAGTCAAGGGGAATCAAGAGTGGGTGCTGGAGGACAGAGATGAAGAACTAAAAATATGGCCTCAAGACCAGCAGGGTTTGGGGTTTGTTCCACTAACTATTTTGTATTAAGTATTTGTGAAGTTTTTTGGCTGACTACCACCATGAAGGGACTTTAGGAAAGGCAGAATTTAAAAGAAAAGAGGGCATGAGTGAACCTAAGTGGTGGAAGGGGTCAACAATGAACAGGTATCACTTGTGTCCTACTTGTGTCTTACATTTTCCCTACCTTACCAGGAACCCAACTTCTGTGCCAAGACCTGGTCTAGAAGGCATTAACTAGCTTTACACAGAGCCCTGCTTCGGGTCCTCACTGCATTTCCCTTTTGCCTGCCCTAGACTTCTCTGATGCAATAGCATGGATCTCCCATGGGAATGCCCTTGGAACTTAAGTTTGCATAACCTGGAAATGTGGGACCAGCTTTGCGCAATGGACAAAGCCTCTTTTACCCTCCAGGTAAATAGGCTGAGGCACATTAAGTCTCCTTGGAAGGTCCTGTTAAATGGAGCCCCCCACAGTGCTGGCTAATAAAGATGCACTGGGTACTGACTTTTCTTCCTTCTGTTTTACTCCACCTTCCCTTCATTCCTACTCCACGGAATGACTTCCTTAACAAATCGCTTCCACACTTGCCTTTGTCTTATTCTGTGCTCTGGAGGAAACCCAAACAAGGACGCTGATCTTCATAACAGAGAATTAATTTCAATGTGACAGGGAGTTAGTAGGCTTGGATAAGGAAATCCCGCTTTGGTTAATTAAGGCTGGTGGGTCCCCCTGGAGAAGACTTCCTTCTTCATTAGCTTCATTGCTAATGGCCCCATTTTTGCCCCTACTTCTTTTTCTTTCAGGAGATGGAAATAACACACCGATTTCTTTGAAACAAACAATCAAACCAAACATCTAGCTCATCTTTTCACATTAACCCTACTCAGAAGGTGCCTAGTAAGTATGGAGGGCTTAGCAAATAACCAGTCTATGGAAGTATTCCCCTTTACCCTTTGGTCGCTGTCATTTATTTTCTTTGCAGTTTCACAGAGTCTTGGAACTTTTTTTCCCTTTTAATGACAGACTATTTTCTTTGGCCCAGTCCCAGAGAACATCAACAGTTAAACTTGCTGCTATGTGAAAAAGCTGTATTTGTTCAGAAGTCATTCAGAAGGCCGTGAGAGCAGGCGACCCGAATTATAGGAAGTTGCCCCAGGAAACTCAGATCTTTTTCCCTGTCTTTTTGCCAGAGTACTGGTTTTTCCTTAGTTAATAGTAAATTGCAACGAAGTCAAGCTTCATACTAGTTGGAAACTCATAGGATATCAGCCATGTTGCTTTCTTGTAAGTGATTACTTTACCACCTACAAAACAAGGGGCAGGAACATTAACATTTAGCTTAGGGTTCTACATGACAAATGGTTCTTGATAGTCTTCTCCAATCAGTTTTGGGATAATAGATACTATAGCAAGTAAAGGGATTGACTATGTACATACACATTCATCCTATTTGAAGAGAGATCCAGTCTGTTTTAAATACATAATAAACTTCAAAAGAATATAGCAATTGCCCCCAAACAACCCATGAAGAGAAATTAGAAGTAGAAAGCTGAGAATCAGGAAGCTCAAGAGTTAATTTGAAGACTGATTTGTAGGCATTCTAAAGAAAGGATATCTCACATCATTAAATGGTGAGTGACAGTGTGTTTTTGAAGTCACAAAAGGCAAGTATATAGAATTCTCAAATTGGAAGGATCATGGGTTTCTGAAGCTTTTCAAAAAAGCTTCACTTTTAGCTTTATTAGCAAACTTAGGAGATTTTTCTGGTGGCACAACAGGAACACAATGCTCTGTGAGGCTCGCCCATATGGGAAGGTTCCAGGGTAGTGTCTGGAGACCTCCCTAAACACACTGAGCATGTGCATTCCTGTGATCCAGGGCTGGCTGAAGCTGGGTTAGATCACTAAGTGAAAGTAGGGGGGGTGAGGGAGTATCTGTCTCTCTTGTCTCTGTCTCTTACTCAAGGGGAAAAACAAATACTTTTAAAAATTAGGAAACGTTCTAAGCATCACAAAAAATATATAAGGCATTTATAAACATGGCGATATACTTGGCTTTTACTTCTTGCTTGAATCTCATTAGAATGAAGAAAAACAGGTATGCTTTCTGGCTTAGTTGTTAAGGCAGTTGGATCCCATGTGGCCAACCGTGTGATTCAAATCCTGACCCTGTAGCTTGACAAACATGCTGGGTGCATGTCGTGCATGCATGTCCAAAACGGAGGAGAAATAATTGCGGTATGACCATGCCCTATAAGGTGCTTTCTCTTCTTTCTTTTGTCTGTCTCTCTCATGAGCATATGTGAACTCTAGCAAAAAAAAAAAAAAAAGAAAAGAAAAGAAAAAAGAAAGAAAGAACTCTAACAGGAAGAAAAAAAAAACAACAAAAAACTCAGAAGCACTAATGCTGGATTATCTTGGATTCTCTGAATTCTCAAATGGTTGAAAGTCTCCTTATTGAAATCTACTGAAGGATCACCCTAGTAATTTGGTTGGATAAATACAGGTTCCAGCCTTCCATATTATTTTCCTTATGAGGTATTTCTTTTTACTTACCTCCAAGTCAGTTAATGGATTATGTTGTATCACTAGTAATCCCAACAAATCTATTATAGTCAAGATGGTTTATTTACTTTATCTCCTCAAGTAACAAGTAATAACATATTTTAATCCCATTCTCTTGTTAATAAATTTATTTTTTTATTTGCTTTATCCCAATCCATGAGAAGGAATAAAACCACCATGCCTTTCACCTTAAAACATCTAAGGTGTAAACAAATCCAATAAAAGGTGACCATTAAAAGATTGTATTATCTTGTAAGAAGCAAAGAAACATGAAATTTTCTTGGTTTGATTCCTTAAGCTTATAGAAAACAAAAAGTGATGACTGAATTATCACTATGTCAACAAGGACCTCTTCAGGAAACATACACTGCGATATTAGACATCTAATACTAAAAGAATCTTTTCTTATTTCACCAACACAATAATCCTTTGGCAATTAATATTTAAATATGAAATCACTATTTTTAAAAATACGGTTGATAAGTCAAACAGCTATTTAATCCAATGACACATCTGTTTTTGCTTTTTGTGTATGTATAAATAAAATAACTGGCTATTGAACAGAAATTTTCATGCTTTAGCTGAAAATAAAGGTATCCTATATAGATGGAAAGCCAGAAAATAAGCTGATGATCCCTTTTTTTACAATTATAAAGTTTTCGTTCTCTCTTCTTAAATCCACTCAAAGAATGTCAATGTTTTCCACATACAAATTATGTTTCTTCTGCCTGCAACTTACCTTCTTAGATTACACAGAAAATGCCCTTGGCCACTCGTGTTATTATCTATATTCTTCTTATATCCAATTTGTCCTTTCATTTCATTATTTTTTCTCTGTTCTATTTTTTGTGTTTAGAAGGACAAAACAGAAAAGCCACGGAGCTTACCATTTCCACCAAGGATAAATATAAGAACATGCCAGCTGTAACTGTTAAGATCCAGTCTTGAACGCATGGGTCAGCTGACACAGAGAGGCCAACGTACAGTCCTATGAAGGCAGTGAGAGCACTTATAAAATTCATCAGAATGGCAGTCTTAACAGACAGTCCAGAGCTTAAGAGCACAGCAAAGTCTCCTGAAGTTTAAGGGAAAAAGAAAATACCATGATCATTTAGCCGATGATGCCTTTGATAAAGTAATGTGCTATTAAGCTACTTCGGATTTCAGCAACTGGAACAAATTTTATAAGAAAAGTTGGATGATCAGTTAATAACATGCTTTCCTATTTTTCTCTAGGATTCATAGCCCAACTTGTTCTACTTTTGGGAACTGGATTTCAAGAGTTCTATTCCTTTCACTGCTCCTCATGATGGCACATTCTGAAAGTCTATGAGGCATTCTTTAGTTCCTGATAGCCTGTGACATTTTCAACTGAAGTAAATGCAAAACTAAAGTTACTCACTGTTCCAGGGTTTCTAAATCTTTTCTCCTGGAAAGGTGCCAGGTGAAATCATGACATTATATGGGCTTTTATTATTTACTTAACGAGGAGCTACTGTGAGGAATGAGAAAACTACTCAGTAAGAGCTTTTTAAAATCAGTGCAAAAGTTACGAACACAGATTTTTTCTTTTACAAAATGTTTTACTAAACATTTTTAGTTTTACTGTCTTGACAATGGTGGGCAAATAACCTCTCTTTTCCATACATTTTCTCCAAAGGAATAATTCATATTGGATTGTTGGAAAAGTCATGATGCATTTTCGCATAGAAAAACAGAAAAATACATCATTACTTTTCAGGCAACTCAATAGTAAATCTGAGATCCTCTATTTCTTAGATGCAGGAATTGAGAAGAGATCGGAATTCATTAAAGAGACTGCCTTGGAACTCAGTTTCTAGTTCCTCTGCATAACTGGGTCCTATGAACAAATCTAGGAGGACCTTTGTTGGCCTGGGATCTGGGGTTGGGGATCAGGTGTCACATGTCTATTAAAAGACCTAACCCAAGACCCTAGGGTATGGCTCCCAGACCAGTCACATTTTAATGTGTGTAGAAAGGTCTTTGGATAAAGAGTTCCAAAATGGGTCACTAATGAGTCAGTGGCAGCACTTTGGACAATGGACACTGAACACAAATGTCCAAGAAAAGCCAAAAGTGAAGCAGAAGTGACTGCTAAGAGCCCTCTCCTTAGAGGGCTTGAACATGTATGTGTTTGAATTCCTGCTTCTATTAGGTTGTCGGGAAAGTCATGATGTATTTTCCTATGTTTTTCTATGCAAAAATGCATCATGACTTTCTTGACAACCCAGTATTTCTGGGGCTGCCTGAGAAATATCTGTTCTATCCCATCTTGGTTTCTGGGAGGCAAGATTTAAATTCCGGGTTTTTAAGATTATCCAGAAGAGTCTTATGTGTATCTGCTACCACATGCTTGTCATTTCAATTTTATGCTTGACTTTAAATATTTTGTACAAATCAAGTTGATTAAACCATGGTTTGGTTTTAATTTGAATGTTATTTTATCTTTCTGGCCCATTTGCTGACATAATGGGTAAAGTCCTCTTCTTAATATCTTTCCCCACATTTAATATGTAGATTTCAAAGTCTATGCAAAGTTCTTTAAACTGAGATTTCTCTGAATGATTCTCTTCCACCTAGAAGTCTCCAGGATTCAAAATGAGTCATTTCTAGCCCTGAAAAAGATCATAAAGTAGTCTAATTAAATTTTATCCCAAGGTACAGGAAAAAATTTTTTAGCTCTTTTCCTCTCACAGTTTAAATAAATTATAAGTGGAAAGCATTTATTTTTCAATCATAGGTTATAAAAGGAATTCTAGTAGACCCAAGCTAGAAATATGCTGTGGCTTTCTCAACAAGCAGGACAGTGACTCTAGGTCAGACTTACCCATTTCATGTGGAATTTCATGACACAAAATAGCGATTGTGGTGGTCACTCCCGACTCAGATGAAGAGGAGAAGGCAGCTCCTATCACTAGGCCATCTGCAAAATTATGCAGGCTGTCCCCAACCAGTATCATTATTGCTAATAAGCTAACAGCTTTGCCTAAAGAACCAAATGAAAATGTGAGAAGCATTCACAGTGTGCCACACATCTCATGGAATTCTCTAATGTGACCAACTTTTCTGTCACCCTTGACATTTTCATATTTCATCAAATTACATAGCTCCACTTTGTTTCAACTTTCAAAGTAAGCCAGTATGATAACAACATGCTTGAATGTATGGTCACTATTTTTCTGACTGAGCTGACTAATTATAAGTTATTGCTGGCATCTGCTATGTTGAGTTCCTTGTCCAACCATAGCTAAAGAAGAAAATAAAAACAGTAGTATATCTTCTCAAAGTTTCCACCTTTTAAAATGCATTTTGAGATAATTTAAGAACCTTGTAGTAGACAAAATATTTATGTCTCCCCTAAGATTCATGCTAAAATCTATTACCCTAATGTGACAGTATTAAGAGGTAGGACCTTTCGGAGGTGACGAAGTCATGTGGCCTGAACCTTCATTAAGGGATTAGTACCCTTATAAAATGGTCCCCAGAGAACTCTGTTGTCCTATTTGCCAAGTGAAGATACAGTGAGATGGTGTCATCGATGAACCAGCAAGTGGGCCCTTATGAAGTACCTTGATCTTGGACTTCTAAACTCCAGAACTTTGAGAAAGAAATTCCTATAGTTTATAAGTTACCAATGGACTAAGACAAATCTCCTTGTGGAATGTCATTAAAATGGAATCTGTTTTCTAAAACCATTCCTTTGAGTCCAATTATACCTGTGTCAATCTACTGCAAATTACTTTTTGCAACTGTGTGATCATTATGTTTCCCTGTCTGACTGCTGTCATGACCCTCCCAAAATGACTCTTTTACTCCCTAGCTGTGACTACAACAGACACACTACCAACTCTTCTGACCCCAAACTTAGATTTGGAATAAGTACTCCAAGTTCTTATCTTTCTGTAAAGTAACTTTTAGTACTAAAAGTTAGATATTGGACAGAATAAAGAGAAGCTTCTGTTTTCATGTGATTCTATTATATTCACTGGCAATTTAAGGTACTTACTACAGAATTACCTATTTTCCCTTTACTCATGTACCTGGCAGTCATATTGGATTCCATATTTCTGCACTATTGGAGACTTGCCATGCTAAAACATGAGCTGGAAGAGCATCATTTAGCTCTTTGGTTATTTAAATCAGACTGTGGATAGGATTTTTGCATCCTGTCTTTTGAAACATAAGTTGAGTCGTACCAAGGAGGTAATATGAAACAAGTAATCAAATATTTGGAGCTAATTCAGTATGTTTCTGGCAAAAGAGCAGTTGAGTAATCTAATTCGGATTTGTCCATTATTCATTCTGTATGCCAAGCTTAATGTCTGAAATAGGAAGATAGGAGGCCTACAAAATATTTGAACAGTATCATCATTACTCCTTGATCTAGTATTTGCTCCTGTTCCTAATTAGACCTGACATTTCTTTCTTTCCTCTTTCTTTTTTCCAAAAACAAAACAAAACAAAATGGTCTATTATAGACCTAATATGTGCCAGGCATTCTAAGATTATCCTTGGAATTGAAAATGTAGAAGGATAAATATTACTAACAATCATCTGAAAGAAGAATTGGACAGAATATGTAATTGTATATATATTGAATCAAAGAAATAAATGACATGAGTTAATATATCTAAAACAGAATAGTAGTAGTTATAATAGTTTATTCTTCTTATTAATTTTTTAAAGATTTTTTTTAAATTTAACTTTATTTATTTTTTAAATCTGACCAGAGATGAACAGAGAGAGAGAGAGGTAAAGTGAGAAATCAAGCTGCCAGGTTCAGGACTTGAACCACAAGCCATGTGGGAGTCCAGTGCTCCCATCCACCATGCCTACTGCCTGCCCTTCTTATTAGTATTTATATTCCCTACTTCCCTTAGTCCTTCCTATCTCCTTTCTTCCTTCCTTCTTTCAAGGTACTCTTGACAGGGTCTAGTCATACACAGTCTTCTCTCAATGAATGCAAACATTTCTAGAAAGAATAAAAAAATGAGAGGTCAGGTGGCAGCATTGTCTATGACCCAGGTTAGCTATATGTGGGGTTGGATTCTGGCATAAAGACCATGTTGAGTTCCTGTCTGTCTCTCTTTACCCGTCTTTCATGGAAGAAATAAACTTACCAAAAAAGAATGTAAGAACACACAGATGCATGCATGAATAAGTACAAAGAAACTATTGATGCATTAGCATTTCTTCGATTTCCTAGTGCTGGAACTAACAAGCTATATCATCCTGGGCAGTGACCTACCCTCTCTAAATATTTCTTCATTTTTATAATTGAGATAGCATTTACCCTTACACTTCATTAGTAGGGAAATTGAATGAGAAAATGTGTCTCAAATGTTTAACACTGTGCCTGGCATATAAGAATCGCTCAGCACATTTACTGTAGGATAACAAAATTATCATGGTAGACTAGGAATGGTTAACTGAGATTGCTTAACATTAAAACACTCACAACTTTCTGTCACAGAACAGAAATATAAATAAGGGAAATAGGATTAAGTAGCAGTCAATGGAAACCAAAACAGAAAAAAATGAAAACAAATTTTTTAAAAAGCAAGGAACTTGAAGGGGGTTATTCAGAAATAGAAGCTAAAGGGAATATAATTCCTGTTCAAAATTAGTTTATTAAACTCAGAAACAGGTTGGGACCAGCAGATGGCATAAAGGCTACATTGCTAGACCCCCATTTTAGTCAACCACAGTTCAAGTCCTGGACCTGGTAGCTTAAACTCAAACCAGGAGCCTGTGCGTGCATACCCAAAATCCTGAGAGGAGAATGGAGGAGAAGGGATTGTGACATGGCCATCCCCTGGGCGGGGGGCGGGGGTTGATTTCTCGCTTTCTGTCTCTCTGTCTGTCTTTCTGGTGCACGCATGCGCCCTATAGCAAAAGCTGACTGAAAATTAAATGAATAAAGAAGCTGTAAAATAAGATGCAAAGGACGAGATATCACTGATTTGAACTCTACTATCTCATAATGATAAGATATTTGAATACATTTAAATAGACTGTGATAGACAATTAAAAAAAAGGAAGTCTCCACACCTCATAGTGAAGTAGAAGTCCAGATCATCATGGAAGCTTGATTAGAAAGAAGCCATAATGGCCCAATTGTTAAGCAACACTGTATGATACTGGGGCCACATGGGAGTCCCAGGTCCAGATCCTAGGTTGACCTGAACATGTCATGCACACCTGTGATCCTGGCTGGCTGGAAGACTAATGAGAAGACTGAGTATGACTAGACCCTGTCAAGGGTACCAGGAAGGAAGGAAGGAAGGAAGGAAAGAAGGAAGGAAGGAAGGAGATAAGGAAGGAAGTAGGGAAAGACAGAAGCGGGGAAAAGGAAAGAAATAATGCAAAAAGGAAGAAAGAAAATTAATAAATTTAAAATAAAAAGATCCATAATAATCATATATACATATTGGGACCAGTAGATGATATAGTGGTTAAAGTGCTGGACTCCCATATGGCTGACCACAGTTCGAATCCTGGACCAGTTGGCTTGAAATTCATGCTGGGTAAATCTGCACATGTTCCCAAAATCCCAAAAAGAGAATGGAAGAGAAAGTATTGCTGCATGGCCATCCCTCCCCCAGCGGGGTTGACTTTTCACTTTCTCTATGTCTCCAGAGAGTACAGGTACCCTATAGCAAAAATCTCCCTAAAAATAAAAATCATACATATATATTTACACTAATTGAAGTTTAAATTATCAAATATTTAAAATTTATCAATTTTATGTAGTAGACCACGGTTCGAGTCCCGGACCCGGTGGCTTAAAACACGCCAGGCACGTGTGCGTGCATGCCCAAGATCCCAAGAGGAGAATGGAGGAGAAGGGATTGCAGCATGGCCATCCCTCCTGGAGGGTGATTTCTCGCTTTCTATCTCTCTATCTATCTCTGTCTGGCAAGCGTATAAGCCCTATGGCAAAAACCTCTCAAAAAAAATTGATCAATTTTAAATAATTGGGTAAAAATTTATTCAAGAAAAATGGATATGAACATTCAGTATGTTTGAGAGATGAATCAAAATGGATCGTTATTAAAACTTTTATTACAAAGTTTTGTGGGGTTTTTTGCTTTTGTTTTTGTTTTTAGAGATTTTTCTATAGGGCTCATAGGCTCACCAGAGAGACAGAAAGTGAGAAATCACCCCCCAGGGGGGATGGTCATGCCACAATCCCTTCTCCTCCATTTTTCTCTCAGGATCTTAGGCATGCATGCATGCTCAGCCAGTATGAGCTTTAAGCTGCCAGGTCTGGGACTCGAACCTCAGTCAACTACATGGGAGTCCAGCAACAACCACTATGCCATCTGCTGGTCCCACAAAGATGTTTTTATAATGAAATACATACCCAATATGAAATCTATATGGTTTTGACATATTTATTTTAAAACATACATACGCTTTCTCTATGGCATTTTCTACATTTAAAGTTTTAATTGATACTCACATTTTCTTTTGGAGACTATGGTACTGTCTATAGGAATTTCAGTTGCCTGTGAATCTTCTGGGCCTTTCTATTTAAAATTAAAAAAAAAATTGATGAAAGATAAGTAATAGTAAACATTTGAGTGAAAAAAGAAACATCTGAAGGTTATGCTGATTTTTAAAAGATATTTTAATCCTCTGCATGCATATTAGAACTTCTGAGTTTCATAGGCGTTTTGTAATGTAACTTTCTGAGCATGGTTTTTGCACTCTCTACATTTACATGCAAATAGCACTCTTCTTTAGATCAGAATTTTCCATAGAGAGTTAGAGGCTACTGAGATAGTCCATAATTCAGACTCTTGAAATTATGTCTCTCTTGATGATAATGTGTATTGTAATATCTTGGACTGGACTAATACCCAGTGTATTCAGGTTGGGAAAATGCATTTTGTATGCTGTAAAGATGTACAGTGGTTGAATGCAAAGAAAAATAAATATAAGAAAATAAAAAGAAACAAGAAAACTTTAAAAATTCCCAAGTGAATGAAGGAGAAGGGATTGCAGTGTTTCAATCCCTGGGAGGTATTTCCTAGCTTTCTCTATCTAGGGAGAAGGTGTTTCGTTCTTTCTCTGTCTCTCTACATGGAGCACACATACCCTATAATATTTTTTTTAATTCTTTAAGTTCTATAAGGTGTTTCCTTCTCTTTCTGTCTCTCTTCACAAAGCACACACACCCTATAGTAAATCTTAAAAAAAATCATATAAGCTTTTATGAAACTCAAAGTTTGTAGCAAAAACAAAATTATTATTGATCTAATTTGGCCCTTCTATACAATGGATTATGGATCTAGAATTCATTTTTTTCCAGAGGTCATGTGCACTCATAGAGATAGAGCCAAAGCAAGAAAGCAGCGGCCCCTCCCCCCATGGTAAGTGATCACACCAGAATCCCTTCTTCTCCGTCTCTCCTGCTTTTCAGGATTTTGGGCATGCACACACAGAAACTCAGCATGTTTTTCAAGCTATGAGGTCTAGGATTTGGACGGCATGGTTGGCCATATAAGATTCAACCACATTAACCACCACCACTGACCAGCCTTAAAATTCATCTTTTGAATTTGCAAGCAAATAGTTTATTCTGAATAGAAAAGAAACCTCTGTATGCAACCCCAATACCTCTTTAATTCAATGTACCATAACTTTCTGTTTTCATTGCTTTTCCAGTCAATAAAATAATATTACCAATTAAGAGAGTAGCTCAACAGACTTATAAAAGACAATTGTAATATATGTAACATTTTTTATCCTTTTATATGACAGAAAAGTAAAAATTTGAAATTGGCTTCTAAATTATGAGTTAAGATTGCATGATTTTATTTCAGAGACTGACTCATAGTTCAATTTCTGCAAGATGGTTCCTTTCTCTATGCCTCAGATTCTTATTCTATGAAAAGAGTTCTCTCCACCTGCCTATTAAACATGTCCTTTTAAAAGCACATTTATATAATTTCATCATCCAAAGTTGTGGAAACTTTACACAAATTCAACGTGAGACATAATCATCTTTCTTTTTATATAAAAGAGAGAAGGTAAACTTCAGGTTTACTTACATATTAGGATAAGAGCTGTTTCAAAGATGGAATGACAGGTTATTTTTAGAGAACAATGACAAGCAAGTGAAAGAGAACAGTCACCAGAGGAAGTAGCCTGTTGCCTAGGTGGATCTAGAATCCAAAAACTATGTGATCCCTTTGCAGTATATTCAAAACCTAATTTCAATCAAAATGCTCCATAGTTCCATTAAAAGATAGGACTTTACAACCTTTAGTCAATCAGTTTCAGTCATAGAGTGCAGATACTCAGTATACATTAAGTGGGGACATAAGACTAAAGGTTGTACAAACACAAGAGATGGGTATGAATGCCAGATGACGCGTATGTGGAGGAGTGGGGCCTAAGGAAGGACATTTGGAGAAGGGATACGGAGGTAGAGCATTGATGGGATGGGGAGGTGTGGTGTTATTGGTTGAAGATATTTTGATCAACAGGACTGGGGAGAAATATTCACATATTGCAATGCTCACATTGTAAGCTAAACAATGTGATTGAATGTATATTTAAAAATAAAAAAAAAAAACAAGATAGGACTTTAGATATTTATTGTAGGGTTTCCCTGACTTCCAGAAAAAAAAATATTTTTTTACACTATACAAAGGAATTTAGAGGCAAACATCCAAGATTCCTTGTTGGTTGAAAAGATTGTGAACTCTCTTCCTTCAGCTTATACTTTTCTGGGGGGGGGGGGAAATCAGGAAATTAAACCCATAAACCATTCTATCAGTTTCTATGATTTCTATTCCAGTTTAGGTTGATCTCTCAGCTTAATTAATAAAAGACATGCTGAATACATTTCTGAGCCAGAGTGGACAAATAGTTTAAAACTCACTGAGTTAGTTAGCTTCTGATTTGGTTACGTGCCTTGGGGTTCTGAACACTTCATTCAGACAGAAGGACTAAAGCCAGCATTAAAGGGATTTTAAAACCAATTTCAGCCTGAAGTTACCTTCTTCTGAATCACATTTAAAATAAGCAATAGGGCCATGTCTTTGGCACACTGATAATACAGTGCTCAAGAGAAGCTGGATTTCACATGGTGGTTGGAATTCAGAGTCCAGTCAGCCTGAAACATGCTAGGCACCTGTACAAGTGCCCAGGATCGGAAGGGCTGGAGGACTGGAGAAAGGGGTTTATGATGTGACCAGACCCTGTGGGGAGTGCTCTTCTCTGTCTCTCATGTGCATGTACATGCTCTATCATTAAAAAAAAAAAAAAAGAAAAGAAAAGAAAAGAAAAAAATCACAAAAAAGTTAAATACAATGTAGCTTTTACAATCTTTTTTTTTTTTTTTTTAATTAGTAGAGGGTGTGTACCCTTGCCAGAGAGGGGAAGAGGGGCAGAGAGGGAAGGAGGGAAAGAAAGCACCCCCAATGAAGCATGGTCATGCTGCAATTTCCTCTTCATTTCTCCATTCTGTCAGGATTTGGGGCCCATGTGTATATGTGCTTAGTATGTTTTTTTCAGCTGCCAGGGCCAGGATATGAACGTCACAGTTAGCCATGTGGGATCTGTCTCCCTTATCCAGCAGTCATAGGGCTGGCCTTACAATCATTTTAGAAAGGAAACATTTCTGTTCATGTCTCTGAGTTAACACTGGGTCTGCAATACTGCCAGACTTCCATGTTGCCGTTACTACCTCAGGAGTAGCTTACTTATGTGTATTCAATTAAGAATCTGTCCTTGAACTATGACTCCATACCCCAAACTCATGGCTATAGGAAGCTTTCTAACTATTATGTATACCTTTTAAGTTCTGTCCTACTTTTTGTCCTAAAGTAACAAGCCTCTACAATTGTTACTTTAAGAATTATAATGGGGCCAGCAGATGGCATAGCGGTTACATCACTGGACTCACAGATGACTGACCACGGTTTGAGTCCCGGATCCACTGACTTAAAAATCATACCGGGTGCATGTATGTGTCTCTGCCTGAGATCCTGGGAAGAGAATGGACAGAAGGGATTGTGGCATGGCCATCCCCTCTAGGGAAAGTGATTTCTCACTTTCTTTCTCACTGTCTCTGTTTCTCTCTCTCTCTCTCCCCCAATGAGCACACTACCCTTAGCAAAAACCTCTAAAAACACACACAAACAAACTGAAACAAATTAGAATGAAGATATTGTTTTGAACCTAACTGGAAGTTGTGTTTTGAGAATTTATTTAGAAGAGTTTGTGAAAATTTAGTATAATCTACAGCGCTTACTATGAAACAACTCATCGGACAGAATCAATTCTCTCCTACATTTATGAAATGAAAACCTCAGTTAGAGATGCGCTAACTAATCCTTGCTCACCATCTATTTGCATCCGCCTTGGCATGGCTAACAGTCACTCCGAATAAAAGACCTAAAGGTCAAATCGCTTATTAAAGTTGTAAATAAAATGATGAATGACAGGTATAAAAGTATATTACGTCAATCTGACCCACACATGATTCAAAGTGGTGCAGATGGCAATGATCTGAGTCTGAGGCAAGAGCTTTTTGCTCTTCCAAACGGCTTTCAGGTGCTTGGCAAAATTTTCCCAAGATATTTATCATAGTCAAGAATAGACAACTCAGGGACCAGCAGTTAGCGTAATGGCTATGTTGCTGGACTCCCAAGTACTCGACCACGGTTCGTGTCCTGGACCCGGTGACTTAAAGCTCACGCCGGGCGCTTGTGCATGCGTGCCCAAGATCCTGAGAGGAGAATGGAGGAGAAGGGATTGCAGCGTGGCCATCCCCACTGGGGGGTGATTTCTCTCTTTCTGTCTCTCTGTCTCTCTCTGTCTGTCTGGCAAGTGCACACGCCCTATAGCAAAAACTTCTCCAAAAAATAAAAATAAAAAAACAGAATAGGCGACTCAGGAATGGGCTCTTATTTCTCTACCCTACTGATTTGCATCTGTTCATTGGGGAATGAAAGAAAAAAGATCATCAAATCAGTAGAATGCTTCAGATCAGTAACCTACCAACTGAATGGTTGAAGCAGATTTGCCTCTGTCTACCTGGTCACTTAATTCAGAGTCGAGTGCAAGGTGGTGGGAATGTCCCATGTGCCCATTAACCAGTGACAGGCCCTGCTGGATGAGGATGGTTTAAAATTAGTTCTGAAGTCAGAAGAACACAGGTGCAGATTTTGTCAATTCCATGGTTCTTTTGGGTTGTCAGAAAAGTCATGCTGCATTTTGCATAAAACAGAAAAAAACACATCATGACTTTTCAACCACCCAATGGTTAACATTTGGCTTACTGGCCCAAGGGTGAATGAGCAGCACAAAAAGAATACCAGGAAAATTTCATTGAGATAAATATTTGCTAAAATCACTCATTTTGGAGAAGCACAGACCTACTTTGAAACATCATGCATATTCAGAAAGCTTTAAAAATGCAACTTTGAAAACAGCTAGTTAAGATTAGAAAGAGGTTTGGGACCAGCAGTTAGCGTAATGGCTATGTCACTGGACTCCCACGTAGTCGACCACGGTTCGAGTCCCGGACCTGGTGGCTTAAACTCACACCGGGCGTGTGTGTGTGTGCGCGTGCCCAAGATCCCGAGAGAAGAATGGAGGAGAAGGGATTGGGGTGTGTCCATCCCCCCGGGGGGTGATTTTTCGCTTTCTATCTCTCTGTCTTTCTGGTGAGCACATGTGCCCTATAGCAAAAACCTCTCCAAAAAAAGAAAAAAAAAAAAAAGATTAGAAAGAGGTTCGAACAGTGGTAGCTTTCATATTATCGTTTTTATCTACTAAATATTATATTTATACAAAATTAAACTTCTAATTCTTTGTGGTGGAGATACCAAACTCATGCTCATTGAAATTGTATTGTACCCTGTATCCCCTAAAGTAATATTGTTACAGATATCCATTAATAATGCACTTATAAATATTTTCATTTCTTTTATTTTACACAATATCATGAATCTTGAAATTATGTTTTTAAAACTCATTTTGTGTCATTTGACAAAGCTAAAAACAATCAATAAACAACATTTGGGGACAGTAATAATTTCTCTCACTCATTTTTATATTGATTAAATTTCTGACTGTCACGTATAGACAGATAGGTCGGCTTTGTAATTTGGTGTTCCTCGTTCAGAAATGCTAAACTATTGAGACTAAGTGGGGGTCTATTAGTGTTGATTATATTTGATATCAGAATTCCCATGGTAGAAATTCAGTTTCTAAATTCTTAGGGTACGTGGTGTGATAGAAGCTGGCCTTCCTCATTTCCAAATTACTATAGTACTCCAACTTAAGCCCCAGGCCAAAGAAAAACTCTGCTTTATTAAAACAGAATTGTTTTATAAGATTTGATTTGAAATCTTAATATCTGTTTATTAGTGAAAAGTTTCAAGCATATAGAAAAGCTTAAAGAACTGTAATGTGAATACTCAGATACCCACTTCCCAGATCTAACCCTTAACTTCTTACTATACCTCTTTATTTTTATTATCTGTCCACCTATCACCCTTTTATCCATTCATGAATTCACTTTATTTTTTGGATGTGCGAAATAAAATTTTGAACAAATTTACAAGGAGTAAACAATAGATGCTGGTATTGTTCAAAGCTACTAATGTCTGCCCTGGGCACAGGTACTGTACATTGCGTTACCAGTTGCAATGTGAGTAGGTCAAGAATCAGAGAATAATATGAAAAACCATAGAGGACTGCAGACCCCCTGACTTTTGGCAAACCATAGAGGACTGCAGACCCCCTGACTTTGTCAGGAAAATGCTTTATTTTAATCTCCTGGGAGCCCTTTGCAAGCATTTATCTTTATAATCACCCTATTGAACAGGTCATCTAGTTTCCTTCTACGATAATTTGTAAGAGCAAAAGAAAAATAAACCACACTGCTTTTTGGTGTTTTTGTTTGTCTGTTTGTTTTTGTCATAGGGTACATGTGCTCACTGGAGAGAGACAGAAATAGAGCGAGGGAAAGTGACAAATCACCCCCCTCCAGGGGGGATGGCCATGCCGCAATCCCTTCTCCATTCTCCTCCTGGGATTCTGGACATGTATGCGCATGTGCCTGGCCTGATTTTCAAGCTGCCAGGTCTGGGACTCTAGTCATGGGTGGCCATATGGGAGTCCAACACCTTAACCACCATGCCAAATGTTGGCCCATAAACTGCACTGCTTTTTACAGGTCATCATATAAATTGAAGTTTACTAAATACAGACACAGTGAAAGAAATTCAAGCTGAAAAAAAAGATTTGTTACAAAGCCCATTTTTGAGCTTCTGGTTTTTGTAGTTTTAAATAACCTTAAGATTGAAAATGACAGGTGGTTTTTTGTGAATTTTCAAAGTTGTCATTTGTTTTGGGCTTTTGGTTAAGACATTAGAGACACTGGTTAGTAGCTAAGACTGTGACCCCTTCATTTCCCAAATATGAAATAGTCTTCTGTTTCTAGAACAACCATAAAGGTTAAGTAGAATGCTATAAGAAGTACATTAGTCAGCCAGCAATCGGTGTCTAAAAAATTAATAATTATGCTTATGTTCTCCTTGACAATCAGAATGATCTGTGTATTCCTGGGGTCAGAACCCCATCCCTTTCATAAACAACATCATGAAGGTGTCATACTTCTGAACAAGTACTTTTGAAATAAAAGTGGAATATTTATAAAATGATGAAACAAGAGATCGAAATAGCTTAAAATATACCTTGGCATTTGGAGATACCAGAAGAATAAAACATTTTTCTATCAAAAAAAATCCATGAATGCCTCCAATTAATCCCAATAGTTTCCAAACATAATCTTTGTTTTCATGGAAATGTCCAAACTCTGGGACTTCTGGCTTATGTAAACCAAGAACCTTCAAAAAAAAAAAAATCAAAGAAATTTAAAAATAAATAAATAAAAGGAAGTAACTTTGGACAACATACATATCAAATAGTAGGCCCAGTGTTGAATGTATTCAACTTTCATTCTGGGAAATCCCATGACAACGAAAGTAATTCCCAAGCCCAGTTTGTTTTGAGGTATGTGAATATTTTCACCATATGGTTTGATCAGGGTCGAATAAAATGTGCATAATAGAAAATGCAGAAGAACTCTGGCTAGCCTGTGTTAATGAAAAGAACGAAGCCTATGCTTTATTTCAGCAAGTGGTTTAGATTTTCATACATTCTTAGTTCTCTGGCTGAACTTGTTTTCAGGATTTCAATCTGTATCCGTTTGCATCCAATGCTTCATAAGCTATCAATGTTTTATAACCAGAACACATAAAAGAATATATTTCATCTGGAGTTTATTCTCCCCATGTCACATCACAGTTAAAGTATACTTTCAATACATATTCAGATAATTAAGAAATCCACCCGGAAGACTTTTTCCATCTTATGTATACAGTATGCCCAGCAATATTGTCAGCTTTCTGGGATACAAAAAGATACAAGAAATGCACTAGGCCTGTTTTATAAAATGGAAAAACTTTCAGGACCAGAAGTTAGCGTAATGGCTAGGTTGCTGGACTCCCATGTAGCCAACCGTGGTTCAAGTCCCGGACCTGGTGGCTTAAACTCACGCCAAGCGTGTGTGCATGGGTGCCCAAGATCCCAAGAGGAGAATGGAGGAGAATGGATTGCAATGTGACCATCCCCCCTGGGGGGTGATTTCTCACTTTCTGTCTCTCTGTCTCTCTCTGTCTGTCTGGCGAACGCACACCCCCTATAGCAAAAACCTCTCAAAATAAATAAATAAATAATAAAATAAAATGGAAAAACTTTCACAAGATTTGATTTGAAATCTGTTTCATCTCAAACCAGTTTTAAACACACAGAAAAGCTAAAAAGTGTCTTCTAGTTGACTCGGCCATTGGCTGGCCTCATGATTCCTCGTGAGCTGGTAAATCATGAGCACCATACTCCGTCCTGAAGAGAAGACAATCTTTGAAACAGCTCAGTGGTTTCAGATTTATAATGTCATTTCTACACTAACAAAAGAAAAAAATAAATGATAAGTTTATAGAGTATATTTTATAAATTCATGCGTTATACATGTATAGGCATATATGTGCGTATGCATGTATGTCTGTATATGTGTAAGTATGCATATGTATCTACACTCATTATTTAAATACAATTAAAAACAATATAGTCAACTTTTCTTTTGGTGACAACAGTGAAGTATACCTCCTAATATTTATAATTACCATTATTTCCCAAAATAGAAAACATAATATTATATAACATGAAAAAAAAAAAAACAAATAAACCTCAGGATAAAATGTAGACCTTTCAGTTAAATAAATTCACCGAATTAAAAAAGGAAATCATGACAGTGCATTCTTTTCCTTTCTAGGCAGTCCTTCACAGGGTCAGAATCCGGGACCACTGATTTTTCCGGCTTTCACGATACTTGTATCTTTCTTTCTCTTTTCAGTAAATTTTGCTCTTCTTTTTGGTGAAGGAAGAAAACACTACCATCCAATGTCACGGAACTGAATTGAGCTCCTTCTCCATGACATGGTCCATCCAGCTCCGAGCCCACCCTCTCTGCCCCTCACTCCCCCTCACTATGTGCCCTTGTCCAGGGAGACCCAGGCAGTCCTGACATCCTTCTGTTATTTCCCAGGATCCTGAGCTGTAAACAGCTCTGCAACCACCGTGGTGACCTAGAAAAAGGCCTCAGCTGCCGCCTCAAGCCAATAATAAGCCCTGAAATATTTCCAGAAAATTAGATTACAAGGAAAATTAGAACTAATAGTGGTTTGTTTTATTTTTCCAATGCTCACTTTGCGATTTTTGGAATGTCAAATAATGACTGAGCCTCTAAGCAACAAGATTGACCCTGTAGGGAATCGCCAGAGGCTTATGGAAAATTTTAATATCTCTCACTCTGCAAGGAGGGGAGATCATTGGTTCCTAGTCATTACCCACAGTAACAGATGCCAGCAAGAACGGATAACCTCATCTGGAGACCTTCCTCATGAGCTCTTGGGCATCTCTGGTCTTCACCCCCTCACTTCTGACAGAGAGTCTCTGAAGGCATGGGCTAAGGGCTGACTTCCTGTGCTTACATTTTCTTAAGAGGAAGCCACACTTGATTGGTCACGCATGGGAGGATACATTATCACTTTAGGACTGAAGGGCAAAGGGAGGAGGAAATCATCACTGAAGCTCAATGAGAGGTGGGTGGACCTGCAGAGGGGGCCTCCACCAGAACTTTAGCATCACAACTAAGTAACTACCGCAGAGCAGATGGTAGAGCAGAAGGGAATAGAGAAGCGCCCCGCCATTCTCTCCTCCTGCCTGGGTGTTCTATTGTGCCTTCCCCCTTGGCTGAACCCAGAAAAAATCCAGCTACAAGGATGCAGAGGAGACAGAACCTTACGGGAGAGAAAAGACAGCAGAGAAGGGCCAGGAATGGATCTGGTGAGGGTTAGAGGAACAACTGGAAAAGAACAAGGACAGCATCCCACAGCTACACTCTTTATTATTAGTACATGCTTCCTGAATCTATCTTAATAGGAATCAGCATCTGACCCCCTCTTCCCTTTTTTAATTTCAAAAGTAAGTACAGGGCTGGCTCTGTAGCACAGTAGTTAAGTGCAGTGCATAGGGAGCTGGCTCCCACATGGCTGACTGGTTTCAGTTCTGCCCTGGCAGCTTGAAAAACACACCAGGCACATGTATGGGTATGCCCCAAATCCTGATGGGATAGAGAAATAGAAGAAAAAGGATTGTACTCCATTGGGGGTCTCTCTCTCTTTCTCTTTCTCCCCCTCTCTCTCTGGCAAGGACATGCACCCTCTGGTAAAAATAAATAAATAAATATAAGAACAACATGCAGTGCACCTAACATTTCGTGGTCTCTTGTCTCTTACATGTGCAGAGACATTTGAGGAAAATATTACTTCTTTCTTGAGAAAACACTGGCCACTGTATTCACTCAATGAAATTGTTGTGAAATTGTGCAAAAAACTATTTCCAGTGGTGAAATGTAAAGAGAAATAGACACACTCTACTTGAAGCAGAAAAGACCAATTACCTGGGGTATGAGGTGGAACAGAGCATCCCCAGAGAGGGTTCCAACGGCCAAGCCCACAAACAGCTGTAAAACCAGCCTGTAATTCTCCTCGCAGCTGTGGAAAAGGACCAGCGCTGTCCCGAGCATGGAGCCCAGCGTGAGCAGAGCCACAGCCACCGTGCTGTAGCCGAACTCTAGGTCAATGGAGATCACAGTATGTCAGTGCTTTCTGCCCTCTGCTCATGCCACGGCTAGTACAAGTACAAGAGTCAGTCGCCTATAACAGGGACAGGGATATGGAATTATTTTATAAGTGCTGGATGGGTAAAAGGTTATGTTTTCCGGGCCAGCAAGTGGCACAGTGGTTAAGACACTGGATTCCCACATGGCCAATGGCAATTGGAGTCCCAGACCTGGCGGCTTGCTTTCTTGCATGTCCTCTCTCTTCGTTTCTCTCTGGTGCATGTGCACACCCTGTAGCAAATTAAAAAATAATAATAATAATAATTGAAATTAAATAAATAATTCTTTTAAAAAGAGGTTATGTTTTCATATATAAGGAAAAGAAAAAATAGAGTTGCAATGATCAGAAGGTTTGTGTTTCCCCAAAATTATATGAAACCTGATTTCTGATATGGTACTTTTAGGACATGGAGCCTTGGGGTCGAGATTAGGTCATGAGGGCTCCACGCCCAGGAATAAGATCAGGGCCCTTCTAAGGGGCGAAAGAGATCAGAGTTCTTTTCATCCATAGGTGAGGACCTAGGCAGAAGGCATCGTTTTGAGCACTGTGCTCTCACCAGACTCCGAAATCTGCCAGCACCTTGATCTCGGATTTCCCAGCTTCCAGAACTGTGAGGAGTAAAGTTCTGTTGTTAGAAGCCACCACGCTGTGACATTTTGTTACAGCAAGGACAAAGAGCTGATTTTAACCAAATAATGGTTGACTTGCAGCTACTTTGACTACTCCTTACGAAAAATCACCTAACTTTCCTAGGTAGAACCTAACTTACCTCGCACTGGCAAAGACATTAATTTCTCTCATTTGAAATGACAGCATTCACCAACAGACACTAATAACAATTTCTACCTAATCACATTTTAAACCTTTTGAAAGCAGGAAAGCATTGTTACAGAGGAAGCATGAAAGTTTCCCCACTGTAGATCAGTTAGTGTACAAAGTACAAATGCGCTTTAGAAGAACTTTCTTCTGCACATTCTCAAAATTATTTGTAATAACTAAAATGAGTGGGGCCAGCAGCTGACTTGGTGGTTAGGGCACTGAACACTCCCACATGGCTGATCATGGTTCGAGTATTGGACCTAGTAGTTTGCTTTCTCACTTTCCCTCTCTCTCTGTCTGTGTCTCTCTCTGGTCAAATTAAAATAAATGAATGGATAAATAAAATTAAATAAATAATTATTTAAACTTAAAAATAACTAAAATGAGTAATTTTATTGGTGAAAATCAATAAAAGTGTCATGATTGCAAACATAAATTTAAACACTCTATTTTGGATAACTAAAATAATCTTTATAATCCCTAAAATCTATTTTATGTTTCTAGGATTTCAAGTTTCTTTTAATATTTAGGAAGTACAAATTTTAAGACTATTCAGATAAAAATGAATATATTCAAAGAAATAAAAGAGAAGTAAGAAAAAAGGAAGCGAAGGAAAGAAAGAAAATTGGGGCTGGCAGGTGGCATGGTAGTTAAGGTGTTGGACTCCCACATGACCGACCACGGTTCGGGTCTTGGACCTGACAGCTTACTCTCTCACTTTCTTTCACTCTCTCCTTATCTTGTCAAATTAAAAATAGTAATAATGATAAATAAAGTTAAGTAAATAAATATTTTTTAAAAAAGAAAGAAAATTAACACACAAAAAATAGATTTCAGAGCCAAATATTAGTGATATGGTTTTCATTTGGCTGCAGATTTCAGAGCTAATGCTTGATTTTCTACTTATTTAGAAATTACTGAAAAGTCATGGCAAACAGTTTGTAAACAATTGGGGAAGGTAATTATAGAATTAAACTATCATTTCCCCTAAATGACCATAGAGATATAATAAGTTAAACCAAACAACTGAATTTACTACTGAATGCCTATTGCAGTGTTTTAAAAAAACATGTTTCTTTCTCACTCTATTTGTATTTTTCTGGAAGTTTTACCCTTTACAGCAGATCATGTGAATGGTGCAAGTGGTAATATAGTAACAGGCTTATGATTTTAAGAGCACCTTTGCTGAACATATGTTCTAAATTATACAGAGGCCTAATACTAAAATGAAGTTGGTAGAGTATTAGAAGAGGCAAATAACTTTCAAACTTTGACCAGCCCCCCCCCCCCCCCCCCCCCCCCCCATCCACTACCACCCCTTATGGCTACAGAACTAATGTAAAATGGTTTTAGGTTAAATGAAGAATTGATCGGTAATGGGTGTAGAGTTTCAGTTTTACAATATAAAAGTTCTGGAGCTCTCCTGCACAATAATGTGAATAGATGTAATACTACTGGACATACAAATAAGCATGGTTAAGATGGCAAGTCTGCTTTTTAGGCTTTTTCTGTAGTGTGCCTGCACTTGCTGGAGAGACAGAGAGCAGGGAAAGTTAGTAATCAGTCCCCGGGGGGACTGTAATCTCTTCTCCTCCATTCTCCTCTTGGGATTTTGGGCACGTACACACAAGTGTTCTATGTGTTTTTCGAGCTGTCAGGTCCAGGACTGGAACCACAGAGTCAGCTGTGTGGGATCCAGCACCTTAACTACCATGTCACCTGCTGCCCCCAAGATGGTAAGTTTTATATTAAGTATTTATCACAGTTTTTTTTTTTTTTGGATGTTTTGGAATGGTCACATACTGGCATAGAGGTTTTATTTCTTTCTAATTTGGTAAAATTGCACATATTACAAAAACAACCCTAAAGATTATCATTGGGACTGTCATTCTTTTCATCTAATGTTAAGTATATTTGAATTTCAACATGGGCACCTGGATATCTATTAAAATTCAGAGTTCACATTTTTTATGGTAGCTAAAAAAGGCTTAAAAAAAAAAAAAGTCAAGAACACCCAAGGAAAATTAGGGCATGACATTTCCCAGGCAAAAGGCACAGTTTCAAGTTCTTCAATTTGATTGTTTCTCTCTTTTTTGTCCTGGAAGCTGTACTGTATAATATGGGAGGAGAATGGATGTTTCACCACGTCAGAGCTTATACAATCTTTTTAGATTCTCTGTCAGAGTTGGCCTACTCTCCTGTAGAAAGAACAACCCGAAGAACAGAACATGTCTGACTTCCGTGGCCATAGGCTCCTGCTAATTTATCTCAGGTCCCTATGTAGGTACCATAGTGTCGTGATTGGAGTCAGACAAATTGCAGACAGAGTCTACCTAAATGTTTCCTGCCACCACCATTAAACTCAGCCTACCTCTTATATTCTGAGCCACTCCTGAGCAGCTACTTTGAAAAGGTCTGAAACCTAATTTATACATGCTCATTATAATCTTTTCTGGAAACTCAATTGAAGGTGGCACTTAGGGATTGAGTTTCAGCATATCAAACAATATTTTCTTAATAATGTCTCTCTGTGCCCTTCCCTCTTTGATATAACATCTTAACATTTCTAGAATTTTGAAACGCCATTACAAGCAGTTCCCGTTAATCACATAATGAAACATTTTAAATTGAGAACCACAGTGTTGGGTTTTTTTAGGCTCCTTAGTGACTTGTTGGGATTTTTCTCAGAAAGACCATTCCCTGAAGGGTCTAGAAGTTCACTAGAAAATAGATAAAGCTCTTTGCATAGATTTAAAGTTCAAAACCCCTTTTTAAAGTGGCCTGTATTTTCCAGGTACCATGCCGGATGGTGGGAATATAAACACGCCCGGGCAAGCTCAGAGGAGCCACAGTTCTGTTTTCATCCATTGTGTAAGCATCGCTGACCACCAACTGCTGAATTATTTAGCTGCTCACTTTTAATGAGGCTTTTATTCCACTCAGTGAATGTGGAGTCTTGAATTTTTAGGTCTAGCATGTTTTTATTCACATAAAATCTTCAAATGAGCCACTTGATACTACAGGATTCACTGTGACTTTAGAAGTGAACAGTTGAACTATTTGACTGTGATAGATATTGCAGGCTGTCTCAAAGAGGAAGAAATAGAGCTCTAAATACATTTCATATACATATATACATACATATACACACACATACATATATACACATACGTGCATATATATACACACTCTAAATACATTTTATATACATATATACATACATATACACACATACATATATACACACACATGCATATATACACACTCTACATTTTATATACATATATACATACATATACACACACGCATATATACACACATACATGCATACGCAAACTCTAAATGCATTTTATATACATATATACATACATATACACGCATGCATATAAATACACACTCTAAATACATTTCATATACATATATACATTACATATACACACATATATGCATATATACACACTCTAAATACATTTTATATACATATATACATACATATACACGCATGCATATAAATACACACTCTAAATACATTTCATATACATATATACATTACATATACACACATATATGCATATATACACACTCTAAATACATTTTATATACATATATACATACATATATACACACATCTATACATATACCTGTGTATGTACATACATATATACATATATGTATATATACATAATGTGTGTGTGTGTGTGTGTATATGGATACACACACATATCCTCAGATCAACGGTAATACCTTAAGGGCTACATGTGTTCACTGTCACATTTTTGGTATGTATCATAGATATTCTTAGGCCACCATGTTTTGTCCTTTACCAAGCATATTTCTGTATACATTTTCCCATTTGAACTCCCAGGTCCTGTGAAGTCTTATGATACAGCTCATCTATTGCAATGACTCTATGGGATACAGGCAAGTGCTATCCAGCCCTGCACTTCCTGGGGCTGCCAGCCATGTCTGAGAGGCTACTACATCCCTGGAATGGTCACCATCATTCCAGAGCAGACTAGTGTACTTTCGTTACCCCAATGTAAAACGAACATTTTCACATGGGCACCTGGATATCTAATAAAGTGCCAGGTGCCTTGGTTTTGTTTTGGGTTTTTGCCATAGGGAACATGAGTTCACCAGAGAGACAAAGAGAGACAGAAAAGTTTTTGCAATCCTTTCTCCTCCAGTCTCCTCTCAGGATCTTGGGCACGCACGTACACACGCCTGGTGTAAATTTAAGCCACCAGGTCTGGGACTCGAACTTCAGTCTACTACATGGGAGTCCAGCAACATAGCCATTACATCAACTGCTGGTCCCAATGAATTCTTAAGTTAGTCCATGGCTGAATCAAATCCTAGAGATGAGCTCACTGCTATATAAACTGTTGTCTACAAAATAGAAAATAATTCATTGAAAGGTAGTGCAGCATGTAGTGAAAAGCAAGGCCTGTGGGGCCACTTCACCTGCGTTGGACTCTCAGCTCCATCACTTGCCAGCTGTGTGTCCTTGAGAAAGATACTTAACCTCTCTGTGCCTCAGTTTACTCATGTGTAAAACAGGGATGATAATTCCATCTAGCTCATACGGTTGTGAGGGTGACGTGAGTGATAAATGGAAGAGGCTGGCACATAGTAAGTGCCCTAGGGTCCCTGCTATCACACATTTCACCACAGCAGCTTTCTGACGAGGGACCAGAACTTACTCTCCAGAGTGGTGGGAGGCAGCTTTGCTTGCTGGTCTCTGGGCGTCTGACAAGAGCAGCTGAGCAGTTGCTGGATGATCCCTGGACTCATTTGCTTAAAGTCATCTTTAGAAATGGGAGAAAGGCTGTCCTGTAGAAATATCTCCACCAGCTGCCTCGCAGAGAAGCAGGCCTATACCAGAAGAGCATACGTTGTTACTAACCCTGGCCCTACACCAGATTCACCACCAATCCCCATTCTTGAAGACTCAGAACCAGAGAACTGGCTAGAGGGGACACAGGGAGCCATTCCTGCATGTTTTCCTGCAACCTTTGGATCAATAACCTGCAGTTAATTTCCAAAGATTATTTTTAATCTCTGATCAAAGTCTGCTACATATCACTTTTAGTCTGAGTATTATTTACCTTGAGTTTTTTTTTTTTTTTTTGAGAGGTTTTTGCTATAGGGCACGTGTGCTCGCCCGACAGAGACAGAGAGAAATCACCCCCCCAGGGGGGATGGTCATGCCACAATCCCTTCTCCTCCATTCTCCTCCCAGGATCTTGGGCACGCATGCACATGTGCCTGGCATGATTTTGAGCCACCGGGTCCAGGACTCGAACCACAGTCGACTACATGGGAGTCCAGCAACATAACCATTATGCTAACTGCTGTTCCCTTTACTTTGAGTTTTACATGTTTTCTCTTTTCCTGAAAAGACAGGTTTACCCTGTGCTGAATGGTTCTAATGAGCAGCCTAAGGAAGCCTTGATGTTTTTGTCATTTTTCAGTGGGATTCGCTTCCTGTGAACCAAGCTAAGACTTCATAAGAAAAGCAGGAGCTCTGTGGTAATGAAGTCATTGTCTTTAGTACTCTCTGATTTAACAGGCCAGTATAGGCAATGCACATTTTCTAAAAGTACAAAAACAGAGTTACATTTTTTTTAAGATTTATTTTACTTAATATTATTTGGTATTATTTATTTTTTATTTTTACCACAGAGAGATAGAAAGAAAGAGAAAGGGAAAGTGAGAAAGCAAGCCACCAGGTCCAAGACGTGAACTATGGTCAGTCATGTGAGAGTCCAGTACCCTAACTACCATGCCACCTGCCGGCCCCAAAAATTACAAAATGAAAGTTACATTTTTAAAAATGAAAGCTCTGTCAACTAGCTGGTATGTAAGAACTAAATGATGTGCTTGTCTCTGTCAATTGCTGTCCCTTCTCAACAAAAAAACAGTTGAAATCATTGCTATTGCCTATTGACTTCACTGATTTTTACCTAAATTTTTGTAGTTTTCCCATATTGCATAGGCATATTCATGAGATAGGAATTATAAATAAAACAGAAACGAACCAGGTCTCTAAAAAATACCACAAGACATCTGTTCAGTACCGAAGTAAAGGCTGACATTTTATGCATCGAAAATCACAATTTGAAAATCTTAGTATGTGAATAAGAGTGGCAAATAATATCGCTAGTATAAAGCATATGTTTTCTGTTGAAATAAAACCCAATGCAATGTCTTTGTGATCTTTAATTGCAATCAATCAGTATTTTCTTTCTTTTTTTGAGAGATATTTGCTATAGAACATGTGTGCTTACCAGAGAGACAGAGAAAGAGACAGAGATATAGAAAGTGTGAAATCATCCCCCAGGGGGGAATGGCCACACTGCAATTCCTTCTCCTCCATCCTCCTCTCAGGATTTTAGACACCGACATATGCATGCCCGCCATGAGTTTCAAGTTTCTGGGTCTGGGACTTGAACTGAGGTTGACCACGTGGCAGTCCAATGCCTTAACCACTGTGTGACCTGCTGACCCCAATAAGTTTTTTTATTGGGGGGCGGGGAGAGGATTTTGCTAAGGGCATATGTGCTCACCAGAGAGACAAAGAGACAGAAAGTAAGACATCTCCCTGCAGGTGGCATGACCACACTGCAATCCCTTCTCCTCCATTCTCCTCTCAGGATTTTGAGCACACATGCACACATGCCCAGCATGAATTTAATCCACCCAGTCCAAGACTTGAACCACAGTGGACTACGTAGGAGTCCAGTGATGCAACCATTAGCCATCTGCTGTTCTAATAACACTAACCAATAGCCCCAAGCTATTTTTTTAATCAGTAATTTACAAGGCTGGTCTAATTTGCCTTGCCTAGATTGAAGGGATGTTTAACAGTGGTATATTGCTAATCATAAAACAATAATGACACATTTGCTACTTTTCCCCTTATATAAAGATCTTTAGGGATGATTTCATAGATTAAAAAGTTTTACAGGGAACAGTACACACTCCAACCAGAAAACCAAGAAGAGACGGTATTGGAAAGGCACAGAGGCTCTCACAGAATATAGGGATTGAAAGGACAGCCACACCTCGTAAGATACTGCAATTCAAAGCAGAAACATCAGAGCAAAGATCCTTTCTCCTTCTCTCTTGAGACAAGCATTTTCCTTTTGCATCTCCCTGCATAGATCTGTATCCTTGCACAGTCTCATCTTCTCTCTATAAACTCATGGTCATATAAGTCCCAACACTAAAATGACTTTTCACTCCAAGACCCCAACACGGGGTTGAGTCTGCAGGTCCTGAAAGAGATCACATTGGTTCAGGAAAGCTTCAGATGGGCTTCCTTGAACCAAGCATCTGTCTGGTTGGTTTGCCCACATGGTGATGGGTGAGATCATGGTGTTCAAACATGGCTATTGGCCATGCCCGACTGGGTGAGGAAGGCATGTCTCAGAAAGGGATTGGACAAGAACTTCAAAAGGTAAAGATTTCTACTACAGAAAGCATTAACGAAAACTAAACTTATGAGTTTTTCACCTTTATCAAAATAATGTATGCCAAAGACAATATTCATTTTGCTACCATTGTTACTGATGGGATATGATTACTTCATCATTAAACATACTGATAGAGGGGTTGGCAGGTGGTGCAGCAGTTGAGGCACTGGATTCCCATATGGTCAACTGTGGTTTGAGTCCTGGACCTGGCAACTTGAAACTCATGCTGGGCACATGTAAATGTGTACCCTGAATCCAGAGAGGACAATGGAGGAGAGCGGATTGCAGTGTGGCCACCCTCCCTGGGGGATGATCTCTCACTTGCTTTCTCTGTCTTTGTGTCTCCAGCAAGCACATGTGCTCTATAGCAAAAATCTCTCTCTTAAAGAAAAAAGGAAAAACTAGCAGCAAACTTTTGAGGATGAAACCTTAGTAAATATTCCCATTAGAAGACTCCCGACTTGGAAGCAGAAGCGTGGAGGGATAGATGAGAACAAACGCCATGCGTCTTTCTCAGTTCACAGTCAAGAAATGGAATAGTTTCTGGTTTTAGATGCCCTTCTCACTGAGGCTATTCTGTTACCAGCTCCCTGTGCCCTTGATCTTTACTTGCTGCTCCTGTGCGATTTAGGTCACTTTTATTTTAAATGTCCTCTGAAATCAGTAGCATGTAAGTCCCTAAGAGTGATTCAGTATATGCCATTAAACTTTCTTTTTTTGAGAGGTTTTTGCTATAGAGCGTATGTGCTCTACAGAAAGACAGAGGGACAGAGAGATAGAAAGCAAGAAATCACCCCCCAGGGGGGATGGCCATGCCGCAATCCCTTCTCCATTCTCCTCTTGGGATCTTGGGCATGCACACACACGTGCCCAGCATGAATTTTAAGCCACCAGGTATGGGACTTGAACCATGGTCGGTTACATAGGAATCCAGCAATATAGCCATTACACCAACTTCTGGTCCCATATATGCCATTAAGCTTTCAACACAAAATATCTTTAATAAACATGAAAATTTAGGTTATCCAACCAACTATTGTTAAAAGATCTTAATCCCTTTGCATAAAATGTCCACATATGCGCATACCTGTGTCGATGCTACCAGACACCTAATGACATAGGTGGAGTCTTCAGAACTTGATGGAAAATGTATCTTAGGAAAACATGGATTCATGGGACCAGCAGTTAGCATAATGGCTATGTCACTGGACTCCCATGTAGTCGACTGTGGCTTGAGTCCTGGGGCTGGTGACTTAAAACTCACGCCGGGCGCGTGTGTGTGCATGCTCAGGATCCTGAGAGGAGAATGGAGGAGAAGGGATTGCAGCGTGGCCATCTCCTCGGGGAGTGATTTCTCGCTTTCTGTCTCTCTGTCTCTCTCTGTCTGTCTGGTTAGTGTACGTGCCCTATGGCTAAAACCTTTCCCAAAAAGAAAAGAAAACCTATGGATTCTAATATTTTTGCACCAAAATAAACTCATATTCTAATTTCATTTCTTTCACAGTCTTTTTGGATCCTCTCCTATTCTAAAGCCATGGTTTTCAGTCTTTAACTTGGAGAATCACTTTTAAGAGACGGAGTGCTGGGCTCCACTCTCAGAGTGTATAATTCAGTGGATTCTAAGTGAGACCAGAGAATCTGCATTTCCAACTAGTTCCCAGGTGCTCGTGCTGCTGGTGCAGAAGTGGCACGTGGAAAAACACCGGTCAAATTAGTATAGGCAGGTCCCCAGGTCTGGAGTCCCATCTCAGCCTTCCATGAAGTGTCACAAATAAATGTGATGTTGAGACAGAGAAGAAGAATTAGAAACGAGGTCATTTTGTTTATTTTATATAGTAAGCACAAAAAATGATTGCTAGTGTTCTCAGAAGACACATGCCTTAGTAGTCCCTAGAGGTTAAGAAATAACCTTTGTTCTTTGGGCAAAGAGGGTCTCCATAAGGCACATTTGTTCCCTTCTTAGCACTGACCCTGAAAAAGCATTGAAGGAGACATTACCGTATGAACTCCTGTTATCTTCAGTTGAATAAAACAAGCATTTGTTTGAAAATCAGCCTTTACAGGCACCTTTCATCCATAGCAGATGTAACAGAATAGATAAAAATATATAACAACAAAAATACGTGAGACTGCCCAATCATGTAGCCATAATTTGGGGTGACAACATTCATTACGGTTAGAAATATGTAAGGACATCTGCTGTTTCGAGATACATACCATGCTTAATAAGAATATTAAGATACAAGATACAAATAACCAAAAAAGCTTTCATTTGTTTAAATCTCCATTTCTCCAAAAGAACTAGTTGTTGAGAATACAAAATATGCTATCAGACCACCTATGTATACATCCTGTTTCTCTGAACGTAAGCCCTTACTTCTTAGCCACATACTTCAACTTTCTCATCAGGAGGATGGAATAATACCGAACTAACTTCATGTAGTTGTAATAAATGAGGTAACGCAGATTACCAAGCGTAGTGTTTGATACACTGTAAGCATTCAATAAATGTACCCATTATCACGGAACATGAATTTCTCAGGATTTTACATGATGAATACATTGGAGGATTCAAGGTCCAAGTTTGAGAAAAGCTTGACTCAATAAGATTTAAAAAGTGTGTACTAATGGGCCTCTCCAGACACATTCATATGCTAGAGTGAAATATGCATCTCCAGTATTTCCCCGATTGATTTAACCATCGCCTCTCTTTTCAAGGTGGACAAGTGAATACACTTTAGAACACAACTTTAGGAAGTACAGATATGGATGTTTATAAGCTCAAATACTTTTTCTCAAATACTTTCTTCTTTTGCTTTTTGTTTTGTTTTGTTTTTTGTTTTTGTTTTTTGTTTTGGTTTTTTTTGGAGAGGTTTTCGCTATAGGGCGCGTGTGCTCACCAGACAGAGAGAGACATAGAGACAGAAAGCGAGAAATCACCCCCAAGGGGGATGGCCACGCCACAATCCCTTCTCCTCCATTCTCCTCTCAGGATCTTGGTCATGCATACACACGTGCCCGGCATGAGTCTTAAGGCACCGGGTCTGGGACGCGAACCACTGTTGACGATGTGGGAGTCCAGCGACATTGCCATTACACTAACTGCTGGTTCCCTCAAATACTTTCTTCTTTTGCTTTTTGTTTTGTTTTGTTTTTTGTTTTGGTTTTTTTTGGAGAGGTTTTCGCTATAGGGCGCGTGTGCTCACCAGACAGAGAGAGACATAGAGACAGAAAGCGAGAAATCACCCCCAAGGGGGATGGCCACGCCACAATCCCTTCTCCTCCATTCTCCTCTCAGGATCTTGGTCATGCATACACACGTGCCCGGCATGAGTCTTAAGGCACCGGGTCTGGGACGCGAACCACTGTTGACGATGTGGGAGTCCAGCGACATTGCCATTACACTAACTGCTGGTTCCCTCAAATACTTTCTTTATACCATCTACTATACAAACATTTTTGTGTTGCTCAGAGCTAAAAGTAATGTCTTCCTAATTTAACCTACACTTAAAGTGTGCATTCATGATTGTGATTATTTCTGTAATATCTATATCTTATAAATTGCATAGGAGTTGTGTCTGTTTTCATTCAACACTGTATCCCTCATGGCCAGGATAGCATTTACTATAATGACATACAGTAAATGTTCAATATATGTTTTCTGAATTATTTCTTCACAGGAATTCAATAAGGATCCACGAGAGGAAAGAACTATATATATATATTTCTCACAAATATATTTGTTTTCATTTTCTTAAATATCTTGGCCTTATTATGTCTACAGAGATCCACCAGAGAAAAAAAGAAAACCATGACTACAATGTGGAATTTAAAATTTCTAATTAAAAAAAAAAACACATTATTCTTTCAGTTTTCTACAACTCTGACAGAATTTTCAAAGTTGAATTTCCTCTGATGATAGCAAATGATGCTGTAAGAAGAATAATGCAATACCTGATCCCAGGAAACTGGAACATCATCTGACCCATTGTCCATGAATACGGATAGATTAGGGTAAGTCCAATTTTGTATTTTGTTTTGTTTCCTCTGATAGATTTCATCCTTTTTAATACAGGTACTTTGGGTCCAGAGAGTGTTGAGGAGTTGGTCTAGTTCTAGAAATTTCATATAAAATCTGGTGTCACATAGAATAGACAAGTCAAGTTCAGAATAATCACAATTTTGTATGACCATAGAATAGATATATTATAAAGTAAATTTGGTTTTAACCAAAGAGTTTTTATCCTGAACAAGGCTAAGCAACATTTCTACTTCACATAGATATTAATTCCCTCACAAAATCTTGCCCTCAACTTTGGGGCTAACCAGTCTTACAAATATATTCCCATCTTTTTTTTTTTTTTTTTTCCAAAAAGATGAAATGGGTAATTTTACAAATGGGCATGCCTTCCACTGAACTGACTATTTTACTTCTCCTTAAAAAAATGAAATTACAGATGAAACTGGCCTAATACTTAGGCAATTTATTCCCTTGAGGTACTATAAATTCTTAGTAGATTAACTGTTACTTTAATGCAATAAAGTCAATCTGAATGTTTTTCTCTTGTGTATATGCAAAAAAGAGAAAAGATAGAAAAGAAAGCTGAGACAACAGAGATAAACTAGGCCTAATTTTCTAATGTTCCTGCGGTATGGCCATCAATTTATAGATTGAAATTTAGTTTCCCTTAGCACAGTTCTAGACTGTTAAAAAATGATTGATACATGAAGACAGTGTTCCAGTCCTGGACATGGCGGTTTGTGCTCTCTCTCTCTCTCTCTCTCTCTCTCTCTCTCAAATGTGCTCTATAACAAAATTTTGAAAATAATAATAAATAAAATAAATAATTCTTTAAAAATAACACAACTGATACAGAGAATTTAATACACAAGTTAATTTCTATGGATTTATCCATAGTCTCACTTGTGAATAAAATGTCTAGAATTTTCCTAAATATTATTGTCAGTGGTAGAAAAACATGACAAACTAGAGACAAATCAGAGTTGTATTTTAAATAATCAGTTTTCTTCAAAAAATTCTGAGACTTATGAAAATAAGTTGGAAAATATGATCTATATTTAGTATAAAGAGTAATTAATACATATCTTAGCATTGTCTCATATATTTAGCAAAGATTTCAAAGCAGCTATTTAAATTATGTTCAAAGAACTAAAAGAAATTATATTTAAAGAATTTTATAAAATATGGCAATAATAAATAAAGAGTAATTTTTAATAAAACCAAAATTTTATCAAATTCCAAATTGGAATTCTGGAGTGGAAGAATATAATGATAAAAATTCATTAGAGGCACGCAGTAGCATATCTGAGATGGAATTGAACATGAAGCTAGATTAACAGAAAGAATTACTTGTGAAAAACAGAAAAAGAAAGGATAAAAAAAAAAGTCTCAGAGACCTGTGGAAAACTGTTCAAAAAATCAAAGATAAAGATACAATTTTGAAAGCAACAAGTGAAAAATGACTCATTACATACATTGGGACTTCAAAAAGTTCATTAAAAAATAAAATTGAAGTATGAGTTTATTTTGATAATAAAGTAGTTTTAATTCTATGTCTACTTTTTTTATAATATACATTTTCCATGAACTTTTGAAGACCTCTGATACAAGGGAACATCAGTAGCTATTAGCTGACTTCCCATCTGAAAATAGAGTCCTGAAAGTAGAGGATGCTGTATTCAAAGAGCTAAAAGAAAACACCGTCACTCAAGAATTTTATATCTAGCAGGACCAGCAGTAAGCATAATGGCTATGTCACTGGACTCCCACATAGTCAACTGCGGTTCGAGTCCCAGACCCGGTGGCTTAAACTCATGCCAGGTGGGTGTGCGTGCATGCCCAAGATCCCAAGAGGAAAATGGAGGAGAAGGGATTGTGGCGTGGCCATCCCCCCTGGGGGGTGATTTCTCGCTTTCTATCTCTCTGTCTCTCTCTGTCTGTCTGGTGAGCACACGCACCCTATAGCAAAAACCTCTCAAAAAAAATGAATTTTATATCTAGCCAAATGATGCTTCAAAATGAAGATAACATAATACTAGAAAAACAATGAATGAGATAATTCATTGTTAGTAGAGTTGCTTTACAAAGTAATGTAAAATAAATTTTGTTAGGCTGAAAAGAAAAGACCCCCATTTACATTTGGGTGAATTTTCCATTATGGTCCGGTTGATTGAAAAATGAAGAGCACTGAAAAGTAAAAATGTGAATTCATATAAAATACCTTCTAAATATATTTTTTTCATTTGTTCTCTAAATTTAGGAAATACTACAGGTGTTTTTTTTCAAAGTCATAAATATGATAAGCATGGAGGTCATCCTTCCTACCATTTCATAATCTATTGAGATTATTAGCTCATGCAATCAGATAAGAAAATAAATACTGAGTCATCGGAAAAGTTATGATGTATTTTTCTATGTTTTCCTATGCAAAAATGTGTTATAACTTTCCTGACAATCCAATAAAAGAAACAATAATTAGAAAGGAAAAGATAGGCAGCACTACATAAATTCAAAGGTGCCATAATTATTTATCCAAAACTTCTAAAATATCAATGCAAAATAAAGTAAAATAATTTAATCATGGAGCAGGTTATAAAATTAATGTATAAAAATCAGTACCATTCATATATACAAAGATCAATAATAAGACATAGTGAAAGAGGACCTCATTTAAGACAACCCAAAATAAAGTTAGATACCTAATTATAAACATGACAAGAAAAGCCTAAAATCTATGTGAGAAAATTAATGAAACATTCCATAGAAATACACACATACAGGGACCAGCAGTTGGCGTAGTGGCTATGCCACTGGACTCCCATGAAGTTGACTGTAGTTCGAGTCCCGGACCCAGTGGCTTAAACTCATGCCAGGCTTGTGTGCATGTGTGCCCAGGATCCCAAGCAGAGAGTGGAGGCACCCCTTGGTGGGTGATTTCTCGCTTTCTGTCTCTCTGTCTCTCTGTCTTTCTGGCAAGCACACGTGCCCTATAGCAAAAACCTCTCAAAAAACAAACAAACAAAGAAATGTACATATACACATGAACAAGCAGATATATTATGTTCCTGAATATAATGGTGCAATTATAAATCTTATAAATGTCATTTCTTCCTAAGAGATAAACATACCCAAACACACACATTTGGAATTGCAAGAAAATTATTACAAAGGTTTGTGGTCAGATCTTAACAGCTTAATAAAATGATCATTAGGAAGAATAAACAAGTCAGGACATTCTGAAAAGAACAATGTAGAAGAATAGCTCTACCAGACATTAAAATATACTATAAAGGGGATGATTCCTCACTTTCCCTCTCTGTGTCTCCGTCTTTCTATGGTTACTGTGTGTGCCTTATGGCAAAAATCTATAAAAGAAAAGAAAAAAAATACTATAAAGTCACTGTACATACACCAGTATGGTTTCTGGATGAATAGACAAGCTGGCCAAAGAATAGAAAACCCCAAAAATAGACACAACTACATTTAGAAATTTAATGTATTATATGAAAACAGAATTTTGGCAAAGGAAATAATGCATTTTAAATAAGAGGTGTAAAGAAAATTGAACAGTCAAAAACTAAATAAATCAACTAGATTTCATTTCTCAAAACATATACCAGAATTAATCCTAAATATATCAGAAATGAAAACATACGGGAACTAGAGGAAGACATGAATGACATCTATAACCTGAGAATGTGGAAACTTTCCCAACTGTAACTCAACATTCACAAGCAATTAGAGAGAAGTTTAATTAATTTAAATATATATAAATAAGATTATTTGAAGAAATGATTACAGATCTATCCAGAATGTGTGTAAGAGAGTTTATTTGGAGAAGTGATTACAGATCTATCCAGAATGTGTGTAAGATAAGTCTAGAAAATCATGTCATATAAAAAATCAAAAAAGACATTAAATATTGTTATTTTAAAGGTAAAAACCAACTTGAATATGATTCCACAAGTAAAAAAAGGGGACAGTCTGAGCATCAATTAGAATAACAATGACAACCGATTGAGAGATATAAAGCACAATTTTGTATATATTTTTAAAGCCTCATCATTCTTTGAAGGATGTAAGGAAATGACTGTTATTTTGAAAATTGGTAAATTAGGGTGTCAAAAATTTATATTTACCTTCCTTCAAGAATTTCCATAATCTAAAATAGTGACAAGAACTGTTTTTCAAAATAAAATTACACTAATACATAAATGAGAAGTGAAAGAACTAGAAGATCAGCATTTTGTAAGCATTAAACAATCAATTGATCTAGGCAATGGTCATCAATAGCTTACAGCATCTCAGAGAGAGACAACAATATGAGATATGCCTTCTGATAGAAGGTACTCACATAGAACAGTTCACCTAAAGTGAACAAGTACATATAAAACCAATTTATGTGAAACAGGGCATAGAAATTCATGTTAAGTGACTACAAATGAAATCAGCAAAATCCAGAGGGCAAACAACCCTCCCTTTCTTCCCCAACAAAAATTTGTAGCAAAATAGAGAAAATGGTCACATGACACCTATAAAGGAGGCTTAAGAGACATAACAAGAATTTGCATTTTATGGACCTTTCTTGGATCCTGATTCCATTTAAAAAATAAAAAATTTAAATCAGGACAATGTGATCATTGACTGAAGTTTTTATGATATTGAGGAGTTGTTATCAATTCTCAGCCATGATATTGTTAATGAAGTGTTTCTTTTTTAAACATATCATCTCAGGACTTTTTGGTACAGATTTCAAAATTAAGTCATGTTACTTTTAATGTCTTCTCAACTACAAAGAAAATTGAAAAAAAAAACCACACATAAAAAAAACATTCTAATTCCATTCCTGATACTCATTTTATTTTGGAGCCCCAAAAAGTTGGTAGTCAGGAAGACTAAATAAGGAAGGCCATTTCATTTTACTTGTATTTAAAATTAAGTGACTTACATTTTTTATTATAAGCAACCTCCTATCAAACCTCTTGTGCCATTTGGAATCCCATTTCATCATCCTACATGACACCTTGCCACCTCTGGTTCAACCTTAAGTCCTGCCTAGAAAAGTGGTCAGGTGCTTCACAGGACAGATGATGGGATCTTTCCCTTTGACTTTACATCTTCAATATTAGTCATGGCAGAAATGGACAGTCTATGGATTTTGTTTTGTTTTAGTTTCCTAGAGGCTCATGCACTTACCAGCGAGAGACAGAGTGGGAGAAGGAAAAAGCTCTCCCAATGAGGTAGGGTCACACCACAATCCTTTCACCTCCAGTTCTCCATTCTGTCAGGATTGGGGGCATGCAGGCACATGTACCCAGTGTGGTTTTCAAGTCCATGGGGCCAGGACAGTCAGCCATCTGAGATCTGACTCCTTTAACCACTAAGCCACGGAACCAGTCCAATTCCATGTTTTTGCCTCATCACCCCACAGATACTTTAGCCAGTTTGCCTTGGAAGTCCTCCTGAGTTGTCTTAATACCTGTCCAGGTTTAATGGCTTTAAAAACATACCCGAATTAATTCAGTCATCAAAGACCTCCAGCCTTTGCTTTTGGCACAGTTTATTTAGTAGATGTGACTTGAAAGTTATAAATTCATGAAAAACATCCTTACCTGAAAGGTGGAGAGTATCGGTACTATTCAAGGAACTGAAAATATATTCCACAAAATAGTCTGGGGAAGGCAAATTTCTTTGTCCCAGACAAACACCTTGGAGGGACAAAGCAATGATTGTTGCTGCCAGCTGCGGGAGTGTATTTGCATCAGCCCCTTCGCTGCTTAATATTCCAGACTTTTTCTGCAGCATTTTAGTTCCCATACACTGAAATCCAAACCAAAATAAAGAGAAAACTGTGACTTCTGAAGTTATTTTGATTCAAACAGCCCTAAGTTTTCTCTAAAAGACAAATTATCGTTCTTCATTTAAAAGAAGATTGCATTGTACGCGAGAATATGACTGTCTTGACTTTCTAGTCGCAGGTACAACTCTATCTGGGAAATACTTGTTTCTTTCATCTGCCGACATGCAGAATTTTCTAGTCCCCACCTCTTAGTCCCCATTTATCCTCACCCTTCTCATTGTTTGGGTAACAATGTGTTTTCTCCAAGAGGATCTCCCACTCTTATGGTTTAATCAATTTCAATTAAAGTATTTTCCTCTCTACAGGCAAAAGTATAGCCTACAAACTTAAATGTACATTCCCAGGGCCAGATGGTAGTCCAGGGGTTACACTATGCTCTATGAGACAATCCTGCATGGGAAGGTTCTTGGCTTAAATCCAGAGATCTCCTTGAGTATGTTGGATACAAATTTGTCTATGAGTTGGGGATAGCTGGGGTCTGGAGTAGGTTACAACATCAGGACCCTGTTGAAGGTTTATTTTTCTCTTTACCTCCTTTGCTTAGAGAAGAAAGAAATTTAAAAAAAATTTTATTTAAATCTATATTCCCTGCCTTGACTTCACACTGGCTTTTCTGCTTTGAAACATCAAAGGGCATCTCCACTTTTACATCTGTTTTTAGTCTCAAGCTCAAAGTGAATTCACTGCTAATCAAACTGGCACAGTGTCTGTGTTCTCTGAACTCCTGAAGTACATAGACATATAATGTTGGACCTTCTTCATTTGTACACGTCCATTTTCCTCAATTGAATTGTAAACCTCTGAAAGGCTATCGTCTTGCCTTATAGCTCACTAGTATTCTCATTCATTCATGTACTTATTGAGAGCCTACTATGTGCCAGGCATTATTATAAGCCCATTACATACAAAGGAAAGAAGGAAGTTTGTTTATCAAGAGAGAAATCGAGGGAAGGTTAGGGAGTCAGTGCAGTGTTCCTGTGGCATGCAAAAGGAATGAAAACTGCCTGTTGGATTAATTTTCTCTTCAGGATTGGGGGATTGACAGGAATGCATTCCTAACTGCTGTGGGAAGCAGAGCAAAATGCTGAGAGTCATTTTCCAAAATTTTGATCAATTTGGAACAATACCCTAAAGTTTCATATATGAAAAGAACAAGTTGACATAACAGATAGCAGGAACCTCATAGAAATGTGAGATTTTCATAGACGTTGTGAAGCAGTGAAGTGGCAGGGAGGACAAAGGAGCACTCCACCCAGCATTTCCATCCCTGAAGTCCTTTGAGTGTGGTCAGGAACGTCCATCCTCTGTACACGAGACAGGGCTGGAGGAGAATATGGACAAAACCCTGTTCATTTACCATGGAAACAGCACACAGTGGAAAGAACTGGTGAGGTGGGAGCCTTAAGAGCTTGAGACCAGGAAGACAAACATTTATCACTTTGGGCAAAAGAGAATGAAAGTCTGGAAGAAGTTCACATTAGGAAAGTTGACTGGATTAGGGTTCTGTGGGGTAAATTGTTTCGCTTGGGGATCAGGTTGATCCACCTGAAGCAGCTGTTAATGGCTTGACTTATGGAAGCTGAGTCTGTGCAGACCAAGACCTGGCAATGCTAGCTAGCCTCAGTAGACCTGGTGTTCTGGCACCTTCTGTAACCTCATGCCATCTAATCAGAAAGATCAGTAGCCTGCAGTCAGGTGCCAGCAGGCTCCTGCAAAGTCTGGATTGACTGACTTCCTACAGAGCCCTAGCCAAAATGAATGGGCCCCAGGACTCATCCCAAGAAGTAAAGATGGTATATTTCTTTCTTTTTCTTTTTCTTTTTTTTTTTTTAAGAAGTTTTTGCCTTAGGGCATGTCACTTGCCACAGAGAGAGAGGAGGGAAGTGAGAAATCACCCCCTGCAGAAGATGGCCATGCCACAATCCCTTCTCCTCCATTTTCCTCCTAAAATCTTGGGCATGCACACATACGTGGCTAGTGTGAGCTTCAAGCCACTGGGTCTGGCACTCAAACTGTGGTTGACTATGTTGGAGTTCAGGGACATAACCACTATGCCATCTGTTGGCCCCGAGATGGTATATTTCTAAAAGATCATTGGTCTAAGCCAGCAAGGGGTTGTTATGACTCAACAGAAATTCATTTCTTGTTGGCTAAGTAGATAGATAAAGTAGTCCTACAAATACTGAATTATTTTATTCTATTCTAAGAATGTTTTATCTCACAAACACTAATAACCCTAGGTACTTGCAGGATGTGTAGGATAAACTAATTATATGTACGCCATCTGCTTTTAAGTGTGGGTTTCCATTTTCAGATAATCTGCATTACAGAGCAGCCACAGGTGGGATGGCTAAAACCCTAATAGCTAATTTGTACCAATCTCATATAATATAGGTATTACACTAAAGAAATTATATGTAGGCACGCCTCCTTATCTAAGCAGAAAACTGAATTGCATAAAGGAAGCTGTTTTTCTAAAATAAAAATAGAAACAAAAATATGGGCAAATTTTGAGATTCACAAGATTAGTACTACCAAAGTGATGTTTGCAAAGTCCTTAGCAAACTGCCTTTCTGTGTGTTCTGCCTAAATAACAAGAGGGAACAAGTATATTTACAGAAAATTAGAGGGTATATTTGTTGCATGTTAAGCCATGATGAGATTGTACAGATACATTTGGGCATCTAGAAGCCAGAGCTGAGACTAAGAGCCAAACTTCTCTATACCTCTAAATGAATAATTCAGGACAGAAAGGTATATCTCACCACATTCCTCAAAATGTGGTCTTTTTATGGCTTCTCAGTTAAGTCTTTGAGAAATGTGTTTTAAATCAATTTTATGTTCTGGGAACTTCACTAAAATGTCCTACTACAAACCAGAAAGCAAAAAGCAAAATGAAAGTTCTTTTTTTGTTTGTTTTCTGTTTTTTTGTTTTTTGCGGGACTTGTAATAGGAGCAGGTGGGTTGTTTTTTCTATTGTTTTTGCGGGACTTGTAATAGGAGCAGGTGGGAGCAGAAAGAGATGAGGACTATTTGAATAGACCTGTGGACACGCGGCACAAATTAAAAGTGAAGAAGGGGCTTGGTCTAGTGCTGACTGCCATGAACAATACATTTTGCAAACTGCCTCTTTGGTGAGATCACTGAAGATAAATTACTCGCTTAAACTGTTTCTTCCTTCTTCCCTGACTAGAGGCAAGGAAAAGAGACACAGAGCCTTCCACTATCAAAGTTCAGTCCTTGAAATTGATCAAAAAGTTTTGAGTCAAGCTTTACTTGAGCGCTGGGAGGACTTGCAAGAAAAGTGTTGTCCTGTCACATGGCCAGCCTACCTGCCCAACCACCCACACAACTTCTGGTTTAAAATTCATCTTCCAATTAGTCATTTCACTTCCACTTTCGGACTCAGAACTTTCAATTACATCATTCAACAGCCCATAAATAAAAATCTTAAATACTTCTTTCCCTTAGAAGTTCTTGAATGTCTTAGGAATAAATAAGAAACCAACAGACTGAGGGGCCGGATAGTGGCAGAGTGGCCATGCAATGGGCCCATAGGCGAAGGTCCCTGGATTATATCCTGGAGTTTCCCTGTCCATGCTAGATGCATGTCTGCTTGTGATGGGAGCTGGCCGAAACTGAGGGTGGACTGCACTGTGAGGACTCTATTGGGGCTCCTTGTTGCTCTCCATCTTCAACTCTTGGGTCATCAGAAAAGTCCTGACACATTTTTGCATAGAAAAATACATCATGATTTTTCTAACGATCCAATACATCTTAGTAGCAAAACCAGTAAGCAGTTCTATGTTTCTTACCTGGCTCCTAGAAGCATCAAAATACTGCCTGGTCAAAGCCAAGATATCTTCAGTCTCATTCTGTGAAAGGAAATGGGAGTCTTCATCCTGCCTGAGGCTCAGTAGACTACGTAGGTAGAATTCGTACTCTTTGTCACTCATGTCGAGCTTTGAAGAACAGATCTCTTCTTGATGAATAATGTAATAGAGGAGGAGAAGACAAACTCTCTGGACCACCTCCTCTCTAAGCTGGTCTTCAGAATCTCCTCCAGCTATTAGTAATAGTGCATCTGGTTCTAAACACTGTGTGGGGTGGGGGTGGATTTAAAACAGAAACAAATCTTAGCAATAGTCCCAGAACGCTAATGACCATAGTCTTCACTACTTATTATCTTATGAACGTAAGGATAAAGTAGGCAAGCCCAATAGCCAGACTGATAAGAGACATAGTTGGACTTTTTTATAACAAATTCCTTCTAGGGAGCCCTTTTCCCCTAAAACAAGTCCCACCGTCTCAAACCACAGTTGTCACAAATCATGGATTTCCTGCCTTGCAGAAAACCAGCTGATTGTTTTACTTTAAAAGTGATGCCTGTGGAACTAGCAGTTAGCGTGATGGCGATGTCACACAGCATGATGGCTATGTCGCTGAACTCCCATGTAGTTGACCGTGGTTCAAGTCCCAGACCCAGAGGTTTAAACTCACACCGGGCGCGTGTGCATGCGTGCCCAAGATCCTGAGAGGAGAATGGAGGAGAAGGGATTGCAGCATGGCCATCCCCCCTGGGGGGTGATTTCTTGCTTTCTATCTCTCTGTCTCTCTGTCTTTCTGGCAAGCACATATACTGTATGGTAGCAACCTGTCCAAAAAAAAAAAAAAGTGATGCCCATGCGAACACAGTCCAAACTGCTGGAGGTTTTTCTCCTTGGTCTAGATCCTATTTAGCCTACGTCCTCAACCTTTTCTTAGCTTTTCTCCACCTCTCTCCACCATTTCATTAAACTCTTTCATCTCTGGAGCCAGCAGTGGTTAATGTACTGGACTCCCACATAGTCAATTGCAGTTCAAGTCCCAGACCTGGTGGCTTGAAACTCATACCAGGTTTGTGTGTGTACATGCCCAAGATCCCAAAAGAAGAATGGAAAAGAAGGGACTGTGGCATGGCCATCCCTTCTGGAGGGTGATTTCTTGCTTTCTATCTCTCTGTCTCTGTCTCTCTGTCAAGTATACACACCACCCTATCATAAAAATATCTTAAAAAAAAAAAAAAGTACCTCACATCCCTATGATTTTCTGTCCCATTATCTTTCAGGTTTTTTGGTTTCCTTCTTTTATCGAGTCATAACTTAAAGCATCACTCCCCTCAGGGATGCCGACCCAAACACCCCTAACCCATATTGCCCAGCAGAGTGCCATCCAATGGAAATACAACACAAACCACAGATGGGAGCCACTACGGCATTTAAAGTTTTCTAGTAGCCACGTTTCAAAAAGTAACAGGTAAAACTGATTTTAAGAACCTCGTGTTTAGCATTTTATGTATTTCTAAGATGTAATCACTTCAACATGTAATGAAAAGTATTAAAAATTATTAATGAGGTATTTTATATTCTTTTTGTTGGACTGTTTTTAAAATCTAGGGTGGATTTGGACAAGCTACCTGTCCAGTGTTCGACATCCAGTTAGTGGCTACTGAGCTGGACAGGCAGCTCTAGAATGCACATAAAATGTGCACATTTTTTCTGCTGTTAGTATATCTTTCATTAGTTCAGTTCACAGCCCCCAGACTCAAAACCTAAACGAGAAAATAAGAAATATTTTTCCTCTTTTAAATTGTGAAGCATTATTTATTTCACAAACCATAGGTAGATGCCTGGCTTCTCTAATCTGAGATGTTTATATGGCAGAAGGGGCTTGAGTTACCATCATGGGACAGTGAGAGAAAGACGACAAGGAATTGTGGACTGGAAGCCCTCTCAGCAAGGGAAAAGCTGCCTCTTTTTAGAGAGAATTCAAGAGCTCCTGAGAATTCTCAAGGGATCTGAGAATCAGCTCCATTACAGGGAAACAGCAGCCTCCCACTGAAGGATTTGAGGAATGCCTTTCCTGAGTCCCAGAGGGATTTGTTCCACTGTGGGGACTGATTACTACAATGTCTTTTAATCTATTCTTCTCTGAGGTGGTAGTTTTGGGAGTTCTAGTTCCATGTCTGCTGCGTAATCCCATGGGTAGCATCTGATATAAACTGTCTGAGTCAGAAAGAAATAAATGTCACCCATCTCCCAAGCAAAGCATAGTCACATTCCTCATGGAGTCATCCAGACTCCAATCCCTCCCCAACACAAATGCAGGGAGTCAAGAACTCAACAAAGGGAAACCGGATTTCCAACAAGAACACTTTTAATGTGGATATTAAGCTCCACTTCCCAAACCACAGCCCCACAGCCCACAGCACACTGCACAAAGGAAGCTGGATCCCACGTGGCCAACCAGGATTAGAGTCCTAACCCTGTGGCTTGAGAAACATGACAGCGTGTGCGTACTTGCCCAGGACCCTGACAGGATGATGAACTGGAGGAAAAGGATTTATGGTGTGATCAGGCCCTGTGGGCATGGGAGTGGATTTCCTCTCTCTCTCTCTCTCTCTCTCTCTCTCTCTCTCTCTCTCTCTCTCTCTTTCTCTCTCTCATATATACACCTGCTGGCATTAGGAGGGGGAAATCTATGCTCTACTGGCCATTGGCAGGGTTAAATGGGTTTCTGACTTTAAGAAGATGAAAACAGTTACTGAAGCATCTGATTCTGCCTGCTAGAGGTTTTTAATATCTTGAGTGGACAGATGATCTCTGACTCTTGCTTTAATTTTTCGAAGCCTGCTGAAATAAAGCTTAGCTGTGAATCAAACAGCCTTGAATTGAACATATTGTTCCCTCTTTTGATATTGGAATCTTCAAGGAGACACTTTTACTTTAGGTTTTGGCTTAAGGAAGTATCCTGTAGGAAACATCAGAAGAACAAATAAGAAAACATGAATTCCTTCCCTGAGCATAGAGATGACAAAAGGCACTTTCGGGAATTAGTGGTAAGGGGAGGGAAGACCACTGGAATTTTTAAGTTCATCCCCACTAGATTTGTCTCTGTTGTTAGTGTTCTTAGTAGTTAGTTGGTTGCGGTTAGGAGAGGATGTTTAGCAAAATTTTGCAAACACTGCCACCCCACAGGCTTCAAGATCTGTCCAAGGCTGCTGACTCTGGTGAAGTGATTCTTTGTTCAGGAAGAATGGCCTCATTCAAGAGTAATCCATTGATTTTCCTTCTAATCTTGTCAGGTGGAAGCATAAGGTTTTGGGGGGAGAAAAACACCACAGATTCTGGGAATTCGTTTTAAAGACTTCATAAGGAATAAACTTTGGAGAAAACTGATTAGAATTCAAGGGAAGAGAGGCCCCCTTTCAAATTAAAGAGACCACACAGATAGTTGGAAGTCACTGTCCCTCCCACTCTGGAGTCAAATCAGATTGCATCCCTCAGCTATGGAATTCAGCCTTGCTTATTCTGTATGCTGGGCAATCCCGTTGGACAAAAAGCGCTCTGATCGCTCTCTTCCACATTAATAAGATAGCTGTCAGACCTGCGGGGGAAACTAGGGGTTTTAGATCCAAAGAGATTTCAAATTTGATTTTGAGTCATGGGTAAATTAACAGTCTTCTTTTAAGTTCTCAGCTATTTAAAAGGTCTTTTGCAGAGAGAGGGGCAAAGGGGAAAGTTAATCATCGACTCTAACATACAAGGGGGAAGTTGTGTTACTTCCTTTTCTGCGAGTGGAGAAGTGGACAGATATCGGCAGATGACAAGCATTGGCTCTTTTTTGAGTATGTTTTAGATTTGGTGACCTTTCTGAAAACAATAAAGTCTTAACTGAGAAGAGTCAAGCTAAACTTGTTAGATAAATAAGAGCTTTCACACTTTTTCCCTTGACAAGTGTGACAAATGAGGCAGGAGCGGAGGCCTGGGTGTGAATTAAATGGACCTTAGAGCAGTGATTGCTCTGAATGTGTCTGAAAATTGCCTGAAAAACTGGGCTCAAAATCCTGAAATTCTGCGACAGCTGATGCAGGTCTGTGGGATGGCAGGAGGGTGAATCTGAAAAATGACACTAACTTCTATAAAGTCCCTGGAAAAAAAGGGATCAGACACTGCTTTGAGATGAGGGCGTATGAAGGAACTTGAGTTCCCATATCCAAACTCATTGTCTATGTCAGTGTGACTCTCACAGAGCTCTTCCTGAGAATGCACTCATAGCCTCAGTCTCACAGATGAGGAAACTGAGGTTCACTTTGTACAAACAGCTAGAAGGTGCCACAATAGAGCTCCTTACAATGTAGGGACCCGTGTGGGATCATGGTTTTCATCATTACTGAAGCAGAATTGATTCTTTTGGAGTTACTTAATCCCTCATTAAGTTTATTATTATAAATTTATAATAATTTCTGACCCTACATACTAAAAAGAGGGAAAAAATATATAGAATCAGGTAAGAGCTACCTATTTTTAATGGCTGCCTCTTGAGCTGGATTTATTTTTAAATGCATGATGCTTTCAGATACTTTGGATTGACTTTTTAAAATTATTTTATTTAACTTTAATTATTCATTCATTTATTTATTTCAATTTGACCAGAGAGGGATAGATTGAGAGAGAGAGAGAGAGCAAGCAAGCTGCCAGGTCCAGGACTCGAACCACAGTTGGACATGTGGGAGTCCAGCACCCTTAACCACTAAGCCACCTGCCAGCCCCTGGATTGACTTTTTAAAACTTCAATTTTACCTATGGGACCAGCAGTTAGCATAATGGTTATGTCACTGAATCCCTATGTAGGTGGCCATGGTTCAAGTCCCAGACCCAGTGGCTTAAACTCACACCAGGCACGTGTGCATGCCTGCCCAAGATCCCAAGAGGAGAATGGAGCAGAAGGGATTGCGGCATGGCCATCCCCCCTGAGGGATGATTTCTCACTTTCTGTCTCTCTGTTTCCGTCTTTCTGGTGAGCACATGTGCCTTACAGAAAAAAAAAAAAAAAAAAAAAAAAAACCTCTCAAAAAACAAAAAACTTCAGTTTTACCTAAACCTAAAATTGGGAAACTTTTTTCCTCCTCACAAATCTAAGCTATCCACTTCTCTCTTTTTTCAGATATTCAGGAAAATAAACTCAACCCCTTGTCCTCTCTTTTTTACCACAGAATGCGAGCATGAATCCTGCCTAGTTACTAAAATGACAAAGGATACTCAACAGCAAGCTAAAGCCTTGTGGCAGGTACCAGATCCAGGCGTTCATAAAGTTGGGAGGACTCTGTCTCCCCTGAAAAACAGAGAGACACTTCCTAGGCTCCTTGCTAGTGTGTGATTCAGGTGAATTGAAGCCCTCTGGGCAGGCGAGGCTGAGATTCACCCTTGTTTCACCTCAGTTTCTTTCACAGAGAAAGAAAAATAGCAACAGCAAGAGCGTTAAAGACGGTGTTTCATGTCCCAGGAATGGAACTATTCAAATGAAAGCTAAATTGGCCAAATTTGATAATATCACAGAAAGCAGTAAGTATGAAACAATCCAGCCCCCAGCCCTGAAGATTGAAAATGATGTTGCATATTTATATTCCCCCTAGCAAAACTAATATTCAACCAGCCTTAATAAGGCACTTCGTGTCATTAAAAAAGAACATTCCCCTGAAGCATATTCTCTGAGAACATCAATAAGCTATGACTCCCAGTAATTTCCTGTGAGAAGTCTTATGTAGCTATCTTATATATTAGCGTCATCACAGATAAGTTGCCCGTTATCACACATGTTTCCTCTGGGAACTACTGGGCATTTTAATAATTACAGAATTATTTATCATTCACTCAGAGCAAATTCTATCAGCAAGACCCCTTCTGTTATAAAACACTTGGCCAGAAAATGGCATGTGCCCTAGAATGATGCATGATTGAGGAAGTCTTCCAAAATTTATTTTGGAAGCCATTATTTACTTCTATTTATTCATATTTTTATTTTTGTATGAATTTGTCGGTTCATCCTAAAAATTCTTATTGATCAGGAATGGAATGGCACAGAGGTTTATTTTGTTCGTAGTGGTTTTAAGACACAAGATTCCCCCACGTGTGGCTGCTCCTATCTACCCTACTACCATGCCCAATGGAGAGATTTTCAGCCCCATGGACTTCACATGAAAATGATCGCGAGAGATTTAAAAATAAATTCTATCCTGGAGAAATGAAATCTCAGTCTCAGGGAAAATTAAAACCCTACAAGAGTAGTTAGTAAAGCCTGCCCAGCCAATCCTGATGTGCAGTCAGGATTGAGATTCACTTCATCGTAGGCAACTATTAAAAAATAAGACTTTGAGTTGAAGCTCAAGAACAATGGGTTGAATTTTAGCTCTACCTATAGCACTTGGCCCTCCTGTCCAGTTCAATCTCATTATTAAAAGATGATTATCTGATCATTAACTACCTTCCATGCAAAATATTAGAAATCACTACTGTATATCCAGAAGAAAGCACTAGAAAATTTGACATTAGACAAATATCAGACAGCCATGATTATGCTACCGAAGACACATGGCATGTCTAGGAAGTCACAAACAAATCCACTGTAGAATCAAGAAGATTAGTAAATCAGAAAGAAGAAAGGAATGAAATGTCACACTTGCAAATAAATACCCCTAAACATACAGAAGAGTTCTAGAAAGGCTTACATGAACATAACAAGAAAAACGCCCTTTTCTTTAAGTTTTATACGCAAAACATAAAATGATTTGTTCAATCCCAAATAAGGAAGTTATCTTCCCAGAAGGCATTGCCTCTGGAGATCGGAAG